CCTTGTGCAAGTCTCAGGCGGGAGCTGGGGCCCGGGGGCTACTTCGTTTCCCTGCCAGTTGTTAATGAAGATAGGTAAGGCATTGCTTCGTTCGCATGGCCTGTGTTTGATGTACCCCTCCTTTTCCTCCCCTTGGCCCGCTCAACCCCTGTGACGCGATGTGATGTGATGTGTTGGTGGTGACGCTGCTGCTGCCTGCAGGCTCGTCTACACAAGATCCACAAGGTAGGGTACGGTAGTACGACATCCCGGTTGGTGTGTGGGGCCTCCTTGGCAGTCGGCCGAAGTTAAAATACCAGCCACCCTTGTCCGAAGGTTTGGTGTGTGCATCATGCCACCCCGGACTCTGCGTATGCTTTATCACTCGACCAATGTATACAGCCTGGTATTAATCTCTGGATGTGTGACCCAACCGAGATCCAAGACATGGATCCAATCCGCCGACACAAACTCTAACCTGAATTATTGCGCGAGCTGCCGCAGGCCGAGGCGGGTGACCTAGAGGAGAAGCAGGAGCTTCAGGTGAGTATAGGACCAAAGTGCGGGAAAGTCTCTGCCGTGCGCGATATTGCGACAGGTGTTGGTTGTGTGTCATGTATATGGCGACGTTCTTGTGGGCTGAAAGTGTGATTTCCTCTCGTCCAGCCTACCTACCTATCCACCTACCTACCTACCCACCCACCCGCCTACCCACAGGAAGCACTCATCCAGAGCGAGGAGCAACGGCTGCAACTGTCGCGCGCACTCATCGATTTCCAGGTGAGCAGTTGCTGTCGGTTGTTGTCGGTTGTCGGTTATACCCATTTCCAGTCGGCGGTGCCTGGTGCGAGCAGGCGTTGGGGTCCTCAACGTTTTTTATGTGTGCCCGGGTACATACCGCCGACCCGCCGGCCCTGCTTGCCGCCCTCCTGCGCACCAGATGGAGTACAATGAGGCACAGCAGGAGTGGGAGACGATGAAGTACGAGCTGGAAACCAAGCTCATAGAGGTGGGATCGGTGGGGATGGCGGCGGGGCGAGGGCAGGCCCCTGCCTTCCCCACTTCCTTCCTAGGGATCCCCCGCCTCGGACGCTCACCTTCCACTTCCGCAACGATAGAGCTACACGTTCTGTGCCTCCCGCTTCCCCTTGTCATCCACTTCCGTTACGAAGTTGGCGCGGTTTGGACAACGCAGGACAGTCGATGTGTGTATGTGTGTATCTGCCTGCAATGTTTTCTAGGTTAGCTCGCGTTAGCTCACCGCCCTCCTGCACCTGTCGCCGTGGAGCCGTACAGGCGGAGGCTCGGCAGCAGGAGGTGGTGGACGAGGCGGTGATTCGGTTGCGGAGCGAGCGGGACGAGCTTGCGGCCAAGGTAATAAGCGAGCACCGTGGGTGCCAACGCCCATCCGCTATTAGTCTACCATGTATGGCACTGGATGGCCATAACGACATTGAGCCACGGGTCAACGACCTTAAGAGTACCTAATGAACTCCTCGACAACCACCAAAGCAGCGGATGGTGTTGCAGCAGGGGGCCCGCGGACGCCGTGCTTCCCATGCAAGCACCCCCCTACCCGGGCTTTGGACCTCGGTAGCTGTTCCTTTGGCTTTCAGCTCATATAAGCTTCATCTTCCCCCAACCTTTGCAAAGCTGTGGGAAGCATCATCGGGTATCGCCTGGTAGTGGTTTGGATCCGGCGTCTGCCTGGACTTGCGGCCGGATGCGGTTGTACATCCCAGTCGCGCTGTGCCTCCCGGGGCCCCGCAGGTGGAGGAACTGACCTGGCAGCTGGAGCAAGAGATGGAAATGGATGCGGGGATGGAGGGGACCCTGGAGCCCGTTTCGGGTCCGGTCGAGGTGGGTACAGGAGGGGGGTCGCATTGCTTTGGGGTTGGGCCGCGGGTGCCGGTGCTGGTGCTGGTGCTGGTGCCACTGTGAGTGTGCTGGTGCAGTGGAAGATGCGGTGGGATAATGCATGTAAAGCACAGCGGTGCTTTCGCTTATTGTGCTGGAACCGGGCACTTGGCCTCTCCCAGTTTGATGAGGCAGCGGCGGCGGTGCTGACGGCGGATGGTGTTAAGGAATGGTGGTGGTGGCGGTGATGGTGATGTGCACCACCATTATCGCAGGAGGAGGAGCGGCAAGGGGCGGAGGGCCCCACGGAGGCAGCAGCCACCTTGGCAGTTGGGGAGACGGATGATGTCGCCGAGGAGGGGGAGGAGGGGGCCGCGGAAGGCAGGGAGCAGGAGGCAGCGGCCAGGGACGAGGCCGAGGCGGAAGGGGACCCCAAGAAGGGCCAGGTCGGCATGAATACAACGTTGCGTGATAAGGTGGGTGATGGGTGGGGTGGGGCGCGACGGAGTTGCTGCTTTCTCGATGGAGAGTAGGGTGTGACGGGGAGAAGGCATGAACGTCGAGGGTGCCCCGCTGCTGTCATCGTAGGTCTTCTAACACTCGACAGCGCTTTCCCATGCTGAAAAAAACCCATCCCCAGCTCTATCCCCCTCCTGCCCTCCCCCCTAGTTCTACCTTTTCCCGCACCTTCGATCCCGCATTCCTCCCTTTTCCCCTTTCCCCCCTCAACGCTCTCGCCCTCTGGTAGGAACGGCGCATAGAGGAGCTGCAGTCCGAGCTGAATGAGGCCCGGAAGGAGCTCGAGTCGTTGCGGAGCGGCTCCCTGCGGAACGAGGTGGCGGCGGATGAGGTGAGGGCGCTGCGGGGTGTGGGACCCAGGTGCTGGAGGTTAATGAATTCTGTGACAGAAGATTCTCAAAAGATCGTTGGTGGATGAACACTCACCCAACACAACACTTGAAGTGGAGGTGGAGATAGAAGAGAAGTATGTTAGGGGGGGGAGGCGGCAACTCGCGTGAGATATGTGGCTGCGGCTGTGGCCGCGGCTGCGGGGGAGTGCCACAGCTCTTCATTACATCCTCTCGCCCTTCGCATATGGGCGTGCCAGCACAAACACATCTAAATACACACAACACTTAGCTGGTACTCCTTTACCGCACGTACACATGTCGTACACAGGTCCGGGAGACGTACCGTCGCAAGTTGGAAGCCCTCATGCGCCACCTGGCTGCACTCGGGTTATCAGTGTGGGAAGGGGAGGGAGCCGACCCGCGGGTCCGTCCGGAGGCGCTGTTCCGCGCACTGCAGAGCCTGGCAGACGAAAATATCAAGGTGTGGCCACGTAACAGCTACCGTCGGGCATCATTCAGTGAGAGTGTTTTTATGTGTTTTTATGTGTGTGCATGTGTGCGTGCTCTTGTAGTGCAGTCCTAGGGCTTTGCCGGGCAGTATTTCACTGCTGCAAAGAGGTGCCGCTGCGGCGGGCGTAGACGCTTTGCACATCCGCACGGCCTCAGATCTCAATAGTTGGCAATGGCGCGCCACGGCCAAGGCTGCTGCTGCTGCTGCTTCCATACCTTTACTCGTGCACTGACTGGGCGACACACCCCTGAGCTCATGTCCGCTAGGTCGGCAGTCCCCCTACCTTCACACCCTCCTCCCTTACTCCCACGCGCCCACCCCAGGTGACCGAGGCGCGTGAGGCGGACATGCGGCACTCCACGGATGACGCCATGGCCCGACTGGTGGAGCTGCGCCGCAAGTTCAAGGCGCTGTATGTCGCCTACCGGGAGTAAGTACATACATGCTAACACGTACTCTCTCTCCGGGCTCCGTTCTTCACCCCGGGTTCCCTAGCCTCCTGCTTGCTGCCCCCTGGGTCCTGGAGTTGTGTAATACCTTGTGCTGCTTACCACTACTAAACCCTCTGGTTGTCGACGAACCTGGTCCCCGCTGCTTGTGACTAGCTGCGTCACTTTTGAATCCATCTGGGACACGCTCCCTCACCCCACCTCTGTTTCTCGTTCCGCCGGGCAGTCTTCGCCGGCTGGTCGAGGACCGCTGGCCCGGCCCCGACCCGGCGCCTGCAGTCCAACACGAGGATGAGGTGGTGGGCGGGGCCATGGAGGGGATCATAAGGTGAGGACACAGCACGCAGAGCTGGGATACGTGCCGCGGCGGGAGGTGTGTGTGTGTGTGCGTGACATACTGCGATGTGGTGCGGTGTGCCGTCCTGTGTGAGGGGTTGCTCGTTGGGAACTAGGGGAGGGACCAGTTTGCGGTTTACTTGGTATGTGGGGAAAAGACTTAGGGTGCGGCTGGAAGCTGCTCATCGTGCACTGCACACACTGCGGCTGCACAGCCGCATCCGATTTGCAGCTGTTGATGCACCCACCATCTCTACCCTGCACCCGCCCCGTCCCCGCCACCCTCAGATCTGAGGAGGAGGCTGATAGGCGGACCATCAACCGGCTCCGAGACCAGGTGTGTGCAGTAGCTGGATGGACCACCTTGTGCTACCCGGATGCCTCGCGTCTGCTAGCTGTCTCTCCAAACATGTGTATTTCCCGAGCCCCTGCTCCCGAGCCCTACTTATTGATCTCCCCCCCTGGAATCCCCCTTGGGGGCCCCCTCCTCACCCTCCCTTCACCTTCAGGTCACCCAGCTCCAGGGGCAGCTGGAGGCCATGCGACTGACCCGGGGCATCCAGGAGGTGATGGCGGGGCCGAAGGCTGGAAAGGCCACAGAACCCCCACGGAACAGCACCAGCAGCACTGCCCGACCCACCTCCGCTGAAACCTACAACACCGCCGCGCCCGCCATGACTGGCGCCGCAGGCGAAAAGGGGCAAGACAGCAAACGCGCCTCCGGCGCCTCGACCGCCGGCCGGGCATCCGGCGGGACGGCTCCGACCGAACATGAATATCCTTCCACTCCTCCCTATACCCGAGCCACGGCCAACGGCAACGATAACACCTACAGCCCGGCCGACGACCGTGCCGTCAACTCGTCTCCCCTCCCCGCCGCGTTGCCGCCGTCACAATCCTCTGCATCAGGCCCTACGGCCTTTCCCCAAGCCATCTCCCGCAGCCCTACCCCTCCCCAGGCGCCGCCCGCGGTGGACTCCAGCCAAGATTACCCTCCTGCCCTTGTTCCCGCAGCTGACGTCCAACGCCTAGCCAGCCCAACGCCGCCTGCAGGGCCCCCGGCTTCTGTGCCCCGGTCCCGTCTGGTGTCACTAGATCTACCTACGGAAACGGGAGCGGCCTCTTCGCCTGTCCTGGCTCCACCTCCAGCAGCTACTGCGGCGGCTCCTCTGCTGGCTGGGGTTCCCGCCCTATCCCAGCTCCAGCAGCCGCAGCCGGCCCCGGAGGTGTCTTCAGTAATGCCAGCCCACCTGGAGCAGACTCTGGAGCTAGAGGGGATCTCCCTGGAGCCGGTTTCCAGTCCCATGGCTGCGGTCACCTCGGCGGAACCCCCGGTCTTGGCTGGAATGGATCAGTTGCCGCAGATCATCGCAGAGCTGCCGCCCCAGGGTCCCCCGCCGCTCCATTCGCCGCAGTCAGCAGGCATGTATGACGACTTTTTAGCTGCATCTCACATAAGGGGCTCCCACGCCATCTCCGTTTCCGCCTCCATTTCCTCGGTCTTTCTCTCGATACAACTGCCTGCTGGATTCCCCATGAACCCCATCACTTCATACGTACACACATGACATAAATTCCACAGCGATGTTGTTGTATCCGCGCCGCAACTGTCCTCTGTCCTGTTCCGGGCCCCAGCAACCTGTGCGAAACACGCGGTGTCATGCGCTTTTCGTGCAGGGTCCCGGGCGGCCCCCCAGGTAGATCCGCAGCTGCAGCTAGAGAACCAGCGAATGAGAGAGGAGCTGGGGCAACTGCGGAGGCGCTTGCAAGCGGGGTCGGGTGAGTCTAGCGAAGGGGACCCCAGGGGCCCCGCCTCTTAAATCGCCGGCGCATTCATGGGAGCGGCGCGCCGCAGTAGGTGCAGGTACAGGGCCACCACACACGAGACAGCGGACCGGAGCCCCATGGTCAGCGATGAGGATGTGCGGTTGCGGGACGATTGTGGATGATGCCATGCTGTGCTATAGCGCTGCATACCGTCTCAGCCTTTCAGGCCCTCCCTTCTCTGTGCGCGAGTGATATACCACGCCCAGTAAGTGGCCGCTTGGACATGCCGTACGTTGCAGAGGTACCTGCCGCCTTGGAGCTGGAGAACCAACGGCTGCGGGACGAAGTGGACAGCCTGGTTAGGAAGCTGCAGGTCGCTGCAGGTGAGGGATGAGGTTTTGGCTGTTGCAGGTGACGGGTTAGGTGCGCGAGGGAGTGTGCGCGGTAGTGAGCGCTACAGGTGCATCGGTTGGCTGCAGAGGAACAAACTTTGGAAACCCTTTAGGGGGTGAACTAAAGGGAATGACTTCCCAAAGTCTTCGTCCCCTTTAGTTCCCCTAAAGGGGATGAACCAAAGTCAAAATATCAAACACGTTTAATACAAAAAGCGCTCCTTTTACGCAAAAAAAGTAGGCGCTGTCTCTCCCCATGCATCTTTTCCTTCCCGTGCTCTTGCCCGGGGCCCGGATCGCCCAGCAATAACAAGCCTGGCCACCAGGGCAGTGCCAGCTGCTTAAGCTTCACCGTCCTTGCCTTTCCCTGACCCTTAGCAGCTGCATCATCTGCTGCTGTTCGTAAAATCAAAACAGTTTCCTTCCTGATGGGCGCCTCCCTCTCCCAACCGGCCAGAAGCCTCCAAGGCCGCCGCAGCCTTCAATGGCAGCGGGGTGAACCCGGGTAACACCGCCAACGAGAGCCTCATCCGGCAGCTCCGTGAATTCAACCAGAAAAAGACGGTGAGGTGGGGCGTGATTTTGTTGTATTAGAAGGACGCCGGGATGGCGCGAGGACGCCGTGCATGGGCGCGTTGGATGGAAATCCGACAGGCGTAACAGCAATGCGCATGCAGTACGTTACCAGCGTGCCTTGCCGCAATCCCGGAGTCTCTCTTATCGTTTGGCAACTGCTAGCATGCACGCAAGGCCGGCACTGCGCTCCAGTGCTTTTTCGCCTCCATTTCCCCTTGCGTCGAGTTTTATGCAGGCGACCCTTGGCAGCGAGGTTTCCTAGCTAGCGCTGCCTGCACTGGCGCCTGCTGCCAGCTAGCTCCCCTGACTCGCCAGTCTTCATTCCTTCCTCATGCTCCTGCCGTTGCGTCGTCTGCTCCTCGTGTGCGCCGTCCTCTTGCGCCTCGTCCCCGCATGTGTCGTCAGTCTGAGCTGCAGCGGAAGGCGCAGCAGTCGGAGACGCGGGCTGTCATGGCGGAGGAACAACTGGAGCAGCTGCAGGTGCGCAGGGGCTCGGCTTGATGGATCGGTTGGAGAGTTGAAGAGGGTTGTTGGTTCCGGGCCTCCGGGCCGAGTCGTCAGCTGGTTTGCAATCCTTGAGAGCTACGGTGGGCTTGAGCCCCAATCCCCAGCCTCCCAGGCCCTGTATCCACGACTTCCTGCAGCTTTACTTCCAGCGCTGCATGCGTTGCAACGACGGAATTACATTCTAGTTTGCCGCCACGGAGGGCAAGGCACTTAGAGCACGCACGTCGCCTGCCATGTGCCTGTGTTCTGCGTCCCAGAACCCCGATCTAGAACGTAGTCCATGCCTTGATCCCTACGCTAGGTATCCTGATCCCACACCCCAACGAATGCCTCTTTCAGGCCTACCTAGCAAAGGCCAGCGTTGCCTATCAGAAGGAAATCGTGCGGCTCAGGTCCATCATTGGCCAGATGGAGACGTCGATGGGGGCGACAAAGGCAAGCGCGCTGGGGGCGTGCGGGGATGGGTTTCGTGAGGTGGTGACGGGACTGGCACAATGACCGTAACCAGAACATGCATCTTGACACGTTTGTTTTGGCCGCCGGTGCGGCCTAAAGACGGCGGTATTCAGTAGGGTATGACGGCCGGGCACGACAAGTACCGGGATTGGGCTGGCACACTGTTGCTAGTTGGAATGAAATCTCGTTCATTCCTGTGAACCTCATGTTGAGCTGTTTCTGTCTCCACCATTCAAATACCTTCTGGCTGTGCACGGACCGCATGGTTTGGGACCGCAGGGCAGCTACTTGAACCTGAATCCGTTGGAGGGCGTCGGCGGAGGCGGCACACTGCGGCCTGCGGCGTCGGTTCTGGACGAGTTAGCGACCCGCGGATCGCTTTCGCGCCGCTCGAGTGGACAGGGCCTGGCGATGGTAACGACCCCGCGCGCTTCCCGCAGCGGTGGTGGGACCAGGACTCCCGTCAGTCCGGGTATCTCTCCTTCTCCTGCGGGTGGTGGTGGTGGCGGTGCCACAAATGGTGCTGGAGTTGGTGGAACTAAAGCTGATGACGGCGTCCTGCACCTGCCTGCATTGTAGCTCAGGTAGGCCCGTTTTGGGCCGGTCCTGGTCTTGTACCTGGAACGCAGCCGCACAGTGAAAGGTTGCAGAATGCAGGGAGCGGGCCGCCAGGGGACGTATGGGGTTCACGGGAATTGGAAGCAGCCGCGTGAGCCTTTGGGGTTATGGTGCATGGCCACTTTCGTTACATGTGCGCGTGTGTGACAGCTCGTTTGACAGCCGAAGGAGATCAGCTCCTTCTCAGGTGTGATACATCCACGATGGCTCGTTATTGGCAAACCATTCATCTATTTAAAGTACTGGGGGTTGTCCGCGAATCTCAGGTGTGGGGCTTATGTGCACTCGTTGAAGGGAGCACTTGCTTTCTTTCTGGGCGGCATACGGCACCCTTGCGAGCTTGCTCGTGCGCACGGGAAAGTATCCTAAAGGACAAGTCCATCCGCAGCGAGGGCCCTACCTTCTGAATGCCGCATCGAGTAAGTAAAGGCTCTCGGCCAATGTCCCCTTTCAAAAGGAGGGCAATCCTTTCCAGGAAGCTAGGCAGGATGAACAATAGAGCGAGAACCTCACCGTGGCCGTCGCGTCACGTAACCCTTTCGGGTCGGAATCCCAGCCCGCGGAAGCATGCCGCCTTTGCCGTGAGGTGCCGGTTTTGGGGTTAATTGCCGGTAGGTGGATGTGTGCGGAATAATTGCGGCTGCAGGCACACCTGGCGGGACATGTGTCACGGGCCATAAGATGCTCCCGGTGGCTCGGCCCACGGGATGCGCGATAGGTGATTGCGGAAGGTGATTGCGATACGAGTGGCGATACCTTGTGCCTAGCGGTCTATTAAACGTGCTGGTCAGTGTGGCTTGTCTCAGCGGGATAGAAGTTGGGTTACAAGTCCGCGTGGGATAACGAAGGTGATCGACACAGCAACACGCGCCTGCCTGGTCTAAGCGTTGTCGCACATGGTGAAAGTCTAATTACCGACGGAGGTGTCTGGCGAGTCCGGGCACCCCGTGGAATAGTTTAAATTTTGAGGAGATACCTCTTAAGACCGTCTTGGTTATCGCGGAGTGATCCAAGGAACGGTGACAGCGCACGCCAAAAGAAGTATTCGCTACCAGTACACTGGTGCATCGCTTTACCATATAATTTCTACACGCACAATAACGGGCGATCACCTGGGCCACCGACTATGTGCGCAGTGGACCCTGGTTTGGTCTCTCAGGTATCGAGGTGTGACTACCGCAGGTGCGAGGTACGTGGCCCTTTTCTCAAGGTCCACAGTCGTCTAAAGTCCATCCATCCACACCGTCCAGAATTAAGAATAAAAATGGAATGGTATTTACTACGCACAACACGCGACAACTGCTACAACTGCACATTGACACTGCCCCGTGCTACCGTGCACAGAGTTCCAAGCTCGACTTCCCGTGCTACTCGGACGGAGGTCAGGCATCCTTTCACTCGTGCATTATTTACAAAAGCATGTTAACCTCAAAGCTCACACACAAACGATGCTTGCCCAACAAAATACATGCATATGTGTATACAACGTCATAACTCAGTGTACTCACAAGTTCAAGTCCAAGCGGCGCTTAGCGAATAACGCATAGGCGAATGCACGCCTGGCGCACATCCCCTAGGCCCAGACGCATCGCACGTATTCTGTACGGGCCCGGGGGAGCCCACTGGGCCCTGGAGTAATGCTTCCCAGGCCTTGAATGAAATGCTTCTCGGGTCTTCAATCCTCAAGAGATGCATGGTGTTCCACCATTCCATGAAGCTCGATGGGCGGGCCTTGCAACCCGTGTCTTAACTGTCTATACCGATACAGCAGTACGACTAAGCAACACGGTCATAAGTACAACCACTTGTGCTGTTAATAACATAAGAACGTGTTACATAAAAATACAACCCGACATTATTCACATTGCGACCCCTCCACCCTCCCTGGAACGGCTTACAGAAAAAATATTCGGCTCACACCTGGGAGGTTCGAGTAATCCATTAGCCCCTTATGGCCGCCACGTAAATCCAGATGCAACACACGAAAGCCGCCCCTAGGGGCTCCACGTAGACGGCTGTGGAGAACTTCACCCGCTCGTCGGCGATGCGGTGAATACCTGCAGACGAGGGTTGGCGGACGGGCAGTCAGGTTGGCGAGCTGTGGTGCTGCTGGAGTGAGAAGTGACATGGTTGCCCTGTGTTTGCCGGTATTAACAAAGGGCACCCTGGACAAGGGTGCTTCCCTCTTGACCTGCTTCCTCGGTATTGCTGGCGGCTAGCAGCAGCAGCAGTAGCAGCTGCACGGAGGCATCGGCATCTACATGCCGCCGACATCAGCAATCGCATGCATGACCCGCCGTCGGTACCACCAAGGGTGTCAACTGCCAAGACCTAGCCAGGCCTCAAGCTGCAGCGAGGATATCTACCACCGGTATGCCGTCCTGCCTCGCGTACTCCTCACCTGTGTTTGTGACCGCCTCGCTGACGGCCTCCAGGTAGCGGTCGCTGAAGGACATGGCCAGGATGTGGCCGTGTACCGCCTCAGCTCGGGACTCCCGCCGGATGCGCTCGTTGTGGCTAGCCTGCGCACACGTCCCGCCATCAACACACGCTAACGGTCAAATTAACGACACTGTGTCGCACAGTGGCGTCAGTGGCGGCGCCCACCTGCAGGCCCTGTATGAGCTTGTGCCGCTCGCCCAGGTAGGCGGGCACACCTGTAGGGCCTTTGCCACCCGTCTCCGCCAGCTCTGAACTGGCCTTCAGGGAGGCTGCAGCGATCTTTTCATGAACCTGCAGTAAGCCGGTAACTCGGTAAGCAAACACCCCAGCACCGTGTACCGATGGGGTTCCTGCCACTGGCGAGGGCAACAGCAAGACACAGGCCGCCGAACTAACAGCGCTGCCGGAAGCAACCAGTGGCAGCTCTATCCTGTCCAGTAGCCATATTGCCTAGCACGCCTACCTCGCGCATCTCCTTGAGGAGGCTCTTAAGCAGCCGGGACACCTTATTGTCGGGTTTTGTAACAAAGATAGACCGCGCTTCTGCAGGTGCAGAGGAACAGCGGGAGCAATGAAGAACCGAGAGGTTGGGCGCAACTCTTAGTCGCGCAACGGCTCTTCGCCTCGGACCCGCAAACATCACTCTGCCGTACCGGCAGCCCGGGTAACCACTCTTGCTGGCAGCCTTCCTTTTTCCAAACCTATTCCAGACCGATATTCGCCCACTGAACTTCCAGGCCATAGCCTGTCTGCCCTAACGTGGGCCGTTCCATCCCGAGCATCTAAAATGCCATACTGTGCCAAGGGTCGCATTTGTTGGACGTGCCGTATGGGGAGGCCATGTCAACACGCGGCGCCGCCGGCCCCACGCCCCTCTATCCCCACACACCATAATCCAGGCTTCATACACACCCGAACGCCCCACTCACTGCTGAGCGCCTCCTCCACCCGCTTCTCCACCCGGCTCTCCAGCTCCTCATAAAACCGGCTGTCCAGCTCCTCATACAGCGGAGTGGTCTGCAGCCGCGCAGAGAGAGGGGAGCAGCAACAAACCGTACACGGTGCACAGCGCCCCATCAGTATCAGCGAGCGTGAAAAGCTAAAGAGTAGTCAGGGCGTCGAATTCAAACTTGCTGCTGGATTGCAGGGGCCTATATCCGTGCCACTCCGAGGACTAAAGAAAAGCCGTCGTGCACGCTCCCAGGCCAATATGCCATACAAACAAGGGGCGGTCACATCAGGCCCCGCGCGAACGCACAACCGACTCTGTGGAAGTGCCGTCCCCCCAAGCACCTGCAGGCTGGCGATTTCCCTGGATGGAAGTGCCACTCCAAAGAACGGGTGCCAATCCTTGGCGGCTCCCAGGTTCCATCGCATCTCCCAAGGCCGCCCCGTGGACTGTGAATTCGCCCAGATGTTGGTTCCGTCGTACAGCTGACCCACCTGTGGGCACGAACACCAGGTCCAAAAAGCTAGCATTAGGCGTCAGCTTGTAGCGGCATGGCGGTCGCAGCACGGTGTCCTGGGAAAGCCAAACATAGGTCAACTTGTCGAGCAAGAGTGCATGGCGGACAATTGCACTGGGAATGTGGGACATCTTCTTAACAAGGACAATTATAGACAGTGGCACAAACAGAAGCGTGATAAGCCAGTAGCCTCCTCTCTCCGCTCTTTTCCGATTTCCCCCGCGGCTGCATCACCAGTTTCTTGAATGCCTTCACACGACGCGTGGCGTCACATCACACACCTCGCGCAGCTCCCCCGTGGGGTCCTTCACCGCCATCACGGTGCCGGTCACGGGATTCCATAACCGCAGCAGCGCTAGGTTCAGATCCAGCGCGGGCGGCTGCTGCTGCGGCAGCGAGGAGCTGGCGGCGGGCTGGCCGGTGGTCAGCACATAGTGGCTGCGTGCACCGCAGATGGCGGTGCCCATAACCACGAAACACTGGCGGGTCGTGTCAAGGCAGGGCGGCGGAGGAAGAAGGGCGGCAGACGGGGGGAGAAATCAGGTCCTTCTAAAGGTGGCATTGTTAATCAGGTTTTCACACATGTGGCTGCGCGTGTCGTCTTCAGATGAGGGCAAGGAAACGCTGCCATTTCACTTGCTGGGCCCCTAACCGTCAGGTCTCCTGACCCTGAGGGCAATTCATACGACCTCCCGCATACACTTATTACACCACCCCATGTCCACATACGACCCGAAGCAGGGCGAGGAAATGATGTTCGTCCGCTAAGCAAGGCACGGGCGATGTGCGCGCCGCGACAGGACAGGCTGGGCTGTGTGTCCACCTCAGGGAATGCTAAGATGCGGAGGTCCCCGGACAACAGACAAGCAAATGCATGACACCATCCACCACAGCCACCTTAAAGGGTGCAGGGCTGCAGAGCTGCATGCAGCTGCCGCCCCAGCCCCGGTCACACACATTTCCTCGGTTTCGGCCCCAGGAACCAGAGACTGCGACACAGCCCTCCCGCCGAAATCTCAAAACAAATGTTGCAAGGCCGCACCTGCAATCCCAGCTGCAGGAAGTAGCCCGCCAGCAGATGCGCGTGCTCCTCGAAATCCCCCCCAGTCAGGTGCAGGAACTCCGCATTGGTGGTCCAGATATCGTTGCGTTGCTTCTGGATCCCCACGTCCTCCATGTACGGCAACTGTACGGAAGTACGGTGTAGGCGGGCATGCGGGTGCGCCAGTATGCGGTCCACAGATATACATAAAGCGAGGAGTATCAAGTGTGTCTTTTGGGGGAAAGCTCGTTACGTATTTACACGATGCGCCCGTGCCGTCTGCGTACATCGCGTTTTCTCACTCCACCTTTGCCCAAGTTTTGGTCCTAACACAGCAGCGCAAATCCGCAAAAACCGCAGCGCAAATCCCCGGTGTGCATAGTACTTGCTTTGTGTCCCAGCGTGAATGGCTTTTCCTTTCCTAACACACGATAAGCCAACCTAGGCTTCCTACTCCAAAGTCCAAACTCAACAAGCACCCAGGCAGGCAAGTGGGCAGGCAGGCAAGTGGGCAGGCAGGCCCTGTTCCAGCCCTGACCCCAGTGCACTGGGTCAAGGACACAGCCACTCACGTGTGCCACGAACCGGGCCACCTTGAGCATCAGAGCCTCCACACCGCCCGCCGCCGCCGCGTCGCCGCCCGCTGCCACCAACTGAGCCAGCGGCGGTGGCAGCGGCATCGGTGCGATGTAGCGGCACACCAGGACGGCCGCGCCGTCCGCGTCCACCGCCATGACCTGATCGCCAACACGGCCGACAAGACACAGTAATTTCGGGAAAAGTATTCACGAAGGGAGCTGCCGGCATCATTGTTGATCCAAAGGAGAGGAACACGACTCCGGGTTAGCAAGTGAGGGCCGAGGCCGGGAAGTCCTACCTGAGGCGGGATATGGGCCTCTCTCCCATGGGTCCTTCTCTCTGGCTGTCGCTTTTCCCGCTCTAAATCCTTCCCTTCCTCACGGTGCTCCTTCAATTCGGCCCCAAGCCAAGACGATTTCCCACCGTGTTTCCCAATCACGTGTTTCCTGCGCTCCTGGACTCTACCCGCTGGCCGTGTCAAACTCAGGCGGGCCGACCTAACTTGCCCAGCTCGCCAACCCAATCGATAGAACTTCCTGCCAGCTCCCGGTGGCGCTACCCTCCCCCTTCCCCCCAATCCTCGTACTCCAGTCCATATTCATCATCCATCTGCCCCCAGTCCTCCCGCACCTTCAGGATCCGCGATCGGCACTCGGGTCTTGCCAGCAACGCTGCCAGCCACTTTTGCGCATGCCGGTTGACCTGCGCCTGCTCTGAGCTGGTGACCCGCTCATCCAGCTCGCCGGCAGGGGCAGCCAAGCGCGGGCGCATGGTCATGTGCAGCGTCAACGTGGCCGGCCGGTCGCTCGTCTGCGAGAGCAGTCGACAAACGGTTTATGACCATCGTTGCACTCGGGCCAGTACGCGGACCGGTATGGTAGCGTGAGCAAGGCCAGGGGGATAAGTATGAGCCACCATGGGGAAAGACGGGGGCTAAACCCCAAGGATGATTGTGGCAGGTGGCCAGGTTATAGATTTTAAGAGCGCTGCCGCCGGCTTGGGCTTACCTGCACGTACCCGAGCACCACGGGCGGTGCTTCCAGCTTGAATGTCCCCTCCAGCACCTGCAGCTGGTAAACGGCGGACAGTGGCACCCGGACGCAGCCTAGGAAGCGCCTCTCGCGCTCGGGCAGACGCACGGGGTCACCCAGCTCCTCATCCCTGAAGGCGCAAGGGCAGGCAGACGGGGACGGAGACGTGGAGCGAGAGCGACGGAGAGGAATAGCATGGTCAAGGAGAGGGCTAGCAACGCAAACGACTGGCAGTACGTAGGCAGTTCCCGCAGAGGAGGGGGGGGGAGGTGCTCGGTGGTGGGGTAGGCATTGAGGTTTAAGAGGCCCGGGGTCTGGCGTGAAGCGGGATTACCGAACTGGGTACTAGCTGGGTTACCAGATGCGGACGTTGCCGCAGCCAATGCTAATGGCGGGGTTGAGGTGTAAGATCGCACCGTCGTTCCAAGCAGGGATGCTTCCCAAACCGTCCAAGACCCTGACCTCGTGCAGACAGCAGGGGTGCATCTTACCCTGGCCTACGTCGCCGCGTAGTCGCCGCTTCAGAGGGATCTACGATCAACTCGTCGAAGACGTTGAGGGTGATGAGGTCGTTGTTGGCCTTAAAGAGGAGGTAAGAGGAAAGTTAAGGCAGCAACATCGGCAGCGGCAGGTCAGTGGCAATGTTAAGGCCAGAAGCTAAGGCTGTTGTCAAACAGCGGCGTGAGCAGACGCCAGGAGATGGTAGGCGACTGGCTTTCTCTGACCCCGAGAACACGTGCGCCTTGGCGGCCCGTCAGGGCCCCTTGCCCACCTGCAGTGCGCTGGGGCTGGGCTCCAGCCCCGAGCCCTCCTCGGCACCCTTCTGCTGCTGGTCGCTGCCATCGTCTCGGAAGACATCCAGGTCAATCTACACAGCAAGGCAAGATCCAACGGAGAAGCACAATTCCACGAGGTTTGAGTTGAAGAATGCAATGGTGCAGGAAATAACGTAGCATTTGGATGTGCAGTAAATGCACCGGGCAAAGCATTGAGGCGTGGCGTGCATCCCGGCCTAGTTCCTAGAAGGAATTTCTCCGCCTTCCATTTTAAAGGCAGGCCCAGGGAAGCGATCAGCCACTAGGGCCTGCCCCAAATCCAATCCACCCGAAACCATACCTGTTCGTTAAAAAGGGGAAACTCCCCGGGCACTGCCTCCGTCCGCCGAACCAACGATCGGAATCGAACCTCAACGAAGCAGTTGCGCTGCTGCGTCTCTCGGTCGGTAGCGCTCAAGAAGCCCTCCTCCGTCTGTCCGTCGGCGTCATCGTAACCGCCGCCGCCGCCGCCGCCGCCGAAGCGGCCCTGCCGCCGCGGAGTGCGGCCGCGGCCCCCACCACCGCCAGCGGCCCCGTATCCGGCCCCACCGCTGCCAGTTCCTTCATTGACCATCCTGGCGGGTAGGTTTGCGGCTCGCTGGACAGTCACCATGAGCTGCGTCTCCCGGGGCACCGACGTCATGATCGACTTGACCTGCACAACAGTTTTGGGAACGGTGCTGGGGATTTAGGGTCATTGCCGGAACACGTCTGCCGCGGTGCTTCTCCGCCCGCGCGGCGCCTTTCCTCCCCCAAACCAACCTCCCCCGTGCCTATCCCTCCCTTCCCTCCACCATCTCGCCCAGCAAAGCCTGACCTCAGATCTTCATTTTTTTCTCTCCGCCCGCCTTTTTATCCTTACCAGCTTCCTGGAGCGCTTTAGCGGTCTCCGTGGCGCCAGCAGCTGCGTGATGACACCTAGTTCCAACTTGAATTGTGGCAACGGCATATCGTTGACCACGTCTTCGGTGCGAAAGCGCCGAGCCATCAGCAGACCGCCGGCCACACGGGCAGCGGCGGTGCGTACACGCAACGCAAAGGCACGGATGCGCTCCTCGCGCTCCTTAATGGCGTTGCTCAGCAATGCACCTTGGGTGAGGAGGTGAGGAGGGGATTTTAGGTAGATAATGCAAGGACGACTCGGTGAAGTGCGGGCAAAAGGGGCGAAAGGGAAGGATAGGAAAATACATCCATTTGAGACATCCAGCGACTGTAAAGACGCCTGCAAAAGCCGCAGACCATTATGGGAAATGTACAACTGTGCGTCGTAGGAAGGATTCAATCCTGAGGGAGGGACGGGGAGTGGACAAAGAAGGGATGCACATAGGAGGCCCCCAAAATGCCCTCAGTCCTCCAGCTGCCATCCCAAAGCCTACGCTAGCCTGCCAACCCTAACCCACCAATCTGGAGCTGCATGGCCTTCTCATGTCGCGCCATCATGACACGGGCCAGTGCCAGCTGTGTGCCCTCGCTGGCTTGCTCCAGCAGCGCCAACTGATCCAGGTATTGGTTTTCCAGCTTGTCCGTCTCGGCAGCGGTCAACGGTGCGGGAATGGCCACCGAACGAACGCCTGTGTGCCGCCGCAGGCGCAGCATGGACAACAACAAGGATAACAAGAACAAAATAAGAGCAAGGTCGTAGGCGATAAAAGCGGAATTTGGGTTCGTGAAATGGGGAAGAGGAGCTTGACACTCCACTTTGTCGTGAGGTGAAAGCGCGTCCAGCCAGGAGCTGAGCCATCCACCATCAAGCCGGCCTCCAATCTCCCTAATGCCATCAAGAGCTACAGGCGAATCCGGCACGAGCGCATCCTGCGTGGACCTCCGCTTCTGCCCATGGCTATCGTCCTCCCTCCTCGCTCCCTCCCTCCCTGGACGCCTCCGTCCTGCCCCCTAGCGCCCCGCGGACTTGCAACTCGCACCTTTAAGCAGGCTCCTGTCCGGGGCGCGGTAGATGCCCGCCAGCCAGCGCCGCTGGAGCACGTTCATGCGCCTGGCAGCCGCGCGGTCCTCCTGCCAATACCGGGCGGCAGTACAGAACCCCATCCGACGGGGAGGACAGATCGTATTATGAAAGCCGTCAGGAGCGGGGAAGGTGATGATGAGAACACTGATGTTGCTACCTTGCTACCGTCTCACTAGGAAGTCGAGATGCAGCGTTCCTTGAGCGTTGAGGGGTGTGAAAGCTCTGCCTGTCCACTGGTTGGACCACGGTGATTTGGAGCCGGGGGCGAGGCGGTGGTATCTTCGGCAGCGATTCATAGGTTTGAGCAGCGAACGGGCAGCAACGGCGAGACTGCGTCACCATGCTTTTCCACGCAATGGCCTCCATTGCCATTGCCGAGGAGGGCTGTGACGAAGACATGATGCCCCTAAGAGTTAGTGCGAGCAATGAGGAGCTGGAAGTACAGCGAGATGGGGCAGCAACGTAAGGCCTAACGCTAAAGGCACTAGGCACCAGGTATTCCCCAAAGCACCGCCATATCGCTGATCACCGGGGCCGATGCAGGTGCGCTCACCCTCATTGCCACGTCCGGGAATATGTCCAATCGGAACAGGTCGCCCAGGGCGCTGGCGTTGGCCTCGTGTGTCTTTAGCAGCTCCAGGAGAGGCGCATTGCGCGGGTCGTTGGGGTCAATCACGTGCTCATTCAACCAGCGCATGATCTGCGCGCGGTTGGCCTGCGGTTGACGAGCGGACGGCGTAACGAGTCAAGAGATGTGCTGTGTAAGATGAGAGAGGAGATATGGCCGAGGTGAGGATTACCGTTTTGTAGGCACCAGCTTTATAATCCAGATAGACACCCTTCCACAGACGCACCTTGCCGCCTATCCGCTCCGCCGCTCGGCGCAGCATACGGTCGATAGGCACCGACGCGCGTGGTGGCATCAGGCTCTTGCCCGCCTCGATGTCGTTCCAGGTCGCTGCTGCCGGCTGGCCCCGCAGCGGGCTGTTGGCGGCGGTCCGCTCAGCCAGCGGGTTGTCGTACGTGATGACGGCGTTGGGCTGTACCGTGTCAGCCAGGCGGCTGCCGGGTGGGGTACGATCCGAAACCCAGCCGCACCGCACGTACATGACGCCGGCTGGGAAGATGGTATTGAAGTTGTAAGAGGAGTCTTGGAATTGGCTGCGGGCGGGGAAAGGGAGAGAAGGAGCCCACCGAGCATGCATGTGCGGTGTCAGGGGTAGTAAGGGCCATTAGAGGGGCTCGCGCATCTGTCTATAGCCCCTCCAAGGTGTGACACGACAACTGACGACAGCGTCGCCGCTCTCCAGCCGACCGCCACATACATACCAACACACACACACACCCAGAGCGAGAGGTGCGCCACTAAACCTGTTACCAAGGACCATGACACCAAACAAAGAACCACCCAAGTACATTCAAACCGAACGGTCCATTCTTAAATCGATTCCGACACGTATACAGCTCCCGACCCTATGGAGCTCCAATCTAAGCGGCAACGCACGTGTCGGGCATGAGTGGCACAGGGCCGGGGCCCTGTGTTGGCAGTCGCGGCCGCAACGGCGTCAGTGCCGTGAACTGGTAGGGTCGCGCCTGCGCGTCCACATGGGCGCTCCCCGCTAGGCCCGGGATGGCGATGTACACCTGCATGAAATGAAAAGACACCAGCGGGAGGAACACACAAGCGCCACACAGGCGTGCAGGAACCCCGCCTCGCGCTTTCCGAACGAAGAATGCGTGGAATGTTGGACAGGCTGTACCGCACGCGACTAGCAAGGCCTTCTCCCTTTTCCTCCTGTTTGCTACACCAGAACCCATTCCACCAAACGATCCATTTGACCGCGAAAACGCGATTGGCGGGTGCGGTGAAAGGGGATGTGCAGGCCCGCGACAAACGGCTTCTTGACCCGTACCCGGGACCATGGCGACCCACCCTAGGCCCGGAAATCTGCTTTGCATGTACTTCGCTGCTCATCTGCACCCTGCCTTATTCGAGCTGACGACGTTAGAACGCTGAACGGTCGCCGACGCAGCCCTCCGCCGCAACACAGGGGCGCAGGCTACGCTGCAGCTCTCCTATAGAGGATTTTCTCCTCAGGAATACGCGTTCAGTTTTTCGCGGTAAATAGTGCAAAGGCTCGGCGCACCTGCCCGATGTAGCTGTCCCGCAGCGTGTGGCGCTCGAACAGCATGGCGCTGATGGACTCAGGGAAACGGGACACCTGGATGCTGCGGTTGAGCAGGTTTTGGCGGGTTAGGAGGAGGTCAGGCGTTTGCATGCTGCTTTATGCGGTGTGTATGTGCATACCGTGGAGAATGCCTCTATATTAAATGTGCCCTATATTTGTGATGGCTGCGCAAGACGGCAGGAGGCGGCTGTCGTGCTTTGCTTCTCGCCCGCTCGAATGTGTGCTCGAGGCGGGCCTTATCAATGCGATGTGTAAGAGGCGATAGGGCAGGGATTGGACTATGTTTATGTCCGCAGGAAACCATAGTAGCTCCTGCGAAGGTTCCCAATGAGACCTCTTTTTGTTGATCAAGCCATGGCCCACTTGCCTCTTCCGCTGTAGCCAACCAAACAGCCCCTCTTCAGTAACCCCCGATGGCTTACGTGAAGGTGTCTTTAAAGTCGCCCGCGAAGTTGTCGCCCAGCGAAGCAACCTCGGATGAGTCCACGTAATAGTCGTTGACGAACAGCTTCACGTAATACCTGCTTGGGTTTGGCCGGGTAAGGGGATGTGTTCTCCAACTACGAGCAGTAAAAACGGTGCTGCCTGAAGCAGAAACGAAAGCAAATAGAGTTCCGCGTAGACAACTCTCCAAAATATTGGAAGGACTATCAATTTTCCTCACCTGCCCTTGCTGCCCTGCTTCAGGTTCGGCTTGGGCGGCAGCTGTGGTGGCGGGGGCTGAAATGGCGCCACTGGGAAGGGCCCTCCGCCAGGCTGCTGATACTGCTCCTGCCCTGGCTGCGCCGACATGACCATCGGCATTTGCTGCTGTGGGTCCCTTTGGCTGATGGTCAAGATGGGTGACAGCTGAGGCATCCGGCTCACGAAGATCTGCGGCCGCAGGCGAATGGACGCGAAAAATGACTCCTCACGCAAGGGGATGCTACGGGGACGCGAAGCCTGAAGCTTTCATCCATATTTTAAGCCCTTAAACCCGCAACCGTTCACCTACTCACCAACATGTTCTGTGTTGTAGCTCTTTGCTTACATACACGGCCTGCGTGCGCGCCAAGAAACTGTGCATCCCTTCCATGGCTTAAAGCGTTCCCCCCAACTACACACCAGCCTGGTGGTAGTTGCATTCCTTAACCCCCCGTGTTTTGGCATTAGTTGATGTTCCCCTCTGCAATGCACAGATGAGTCCAAACACGCACCTGGCCTTTCTTCACCATCTCCGCCGCCTTAATCTGCAGCTCCAGCTGCTCCTCGCTGGTCATGGACACACGCCGAGGCGCACGACCCACCAGCGCCGCCTGCTCTTCCACCGCCTTCAGGTCGGCGTCCTCGGGGTCTGCCGAGGGCCGGTTCTGGGAGGCGAAAAGGGCGGCGGTGGTGACGTAGGAGCTTAGAGCTTTAGTGCGCAGCCGGATGTATGGGGGAAACAGAGGTTGGCGGTAAAGCGATAGTAGGCGTGCGTGTGTTTGCACAGCACCACAGCACAATATGAAAGGATGGGGGGTTGTCCCGGCGGAACAGACGGAGGTCTGCTCCCATATGCCGTCACGCAATTCAGTTCCGTGCATTTAAATGATGCTGCAAATGCGCATCAGTGCACAGCGTGCCCTACACTCAGCCGGAGACCATGTCCACCCAAATGCATGGACCCTCTCCTCTACACCACCACCTTCGCCCGCAGTGATATGGTATTGCCCCTGGGGAAGCGGCCCATCCGCAAACCTCCCGGGATCCTCGAATCCATCCGAGTACCGATGGCCTGTATCAAAGCATACATGTGCTATGCGTGCGAACGTCACTATAGCTCCCTCGTCCCTGGCCGCTATCTTCGCTTCCACTGCCTCCATTGGGAAACCGGCACTCACCTTCAGTGACTCCAGACGCGCAATGACGTCCGCCAGGGCAGCCGCGTGCGCCGCACACGTGCTCTCACAGCGCCGGATCCGGAACACAAACGGCTTCTGTGCTGTCGCCGTCGCGGCAGCCAGTGGGTCCATAAGCCCCGAATATCCGCCCATGCCCATGCCCGATCCAAGAGGCGCTATCCCTTGTCCGGCTGCGCCAATCTTGGGGCCCGGGTTGACTTGGGGCAGCGGGAAATCGGCCATGTCCGGCACGGGCAGTGGCTCCGGAAACTTGGGCAGCCCCGCGATCTCCTCCATCTCAGCCGCAACAAGCAGCACGTCCAGGCGCTCCCGCGTCAGTTCGCCCTTGGCACCAAGCAAAACAGGTTGCATGGAAAGGAAGCATTGGCAAGGGGAGAGGGACTGCCACGCATATCGCCACACCGGGTCGACGCCTATGCTCGAACGCCCTGGTAAAACCTATGAAACCTTATCCAGGTCCCACATTCTTGCAACCCCAAGTCCGCTGCAGCCCCATCAGCACCTGGCCTGTGGGCGGCGAGCACCAGAAGCCTTCCCAAAAGATCCAAATCCATACTAAACATAGGGGCAGGCACAACACCAATGTTATCCCAAATCCAGCTCTAGGAACATAGCATAGCAGCATCAGGAACAGCGAAGGCGAATCATCGCGTCTCGCTCACCCCGCCCGCCCTCGTGCGACACGTTACCTGCTGCCATGCTAGCTCCTGCGGCGGCTTGGTTTGCACCGTGAGCTCCAGGTTGGTGAGGGCGAAGCCCTGCTGGCGCCGCAGCCCCTGGATCTGGCCATAGAGCTGTTCTATCGATCGCACTGTTCGGGTGAGCAGCGCCTCCTCTTCCTCCTTCAGCTGCCGCATCTCGGCCACCTGCGGGTGGGGCCAGGCGCACGGCAGGCAGGTGCGAGCTATTCTGTTGGCATTTCCTTTTCCTTTCCGGTGTGTCACTTCGTCAATGGATTCAAGGCACCAATTCGTGCCCAGCAGCGAGAAGAGGATTGAATGGACAGGTTGGTGTGCGGGAGCTGACCATAGGTATGTGGAGCGGAGGCCCACAGGCCGCGTGGCATGCCGTGAGAGCGAGAACACGGTGGCGCAACCGTGTGTTGCACACAACACACGGAACTTGAAGCATGCTACTTGTGCGGACGCAGCAGGCGCACATCATTATCGGACTAGTATCCAGTGATTGAACCCGGTGCGCCATCCTAGAAACTCTTCAACAGCTTCCTGCCCAATACTCACCTCGCGCTCAATCTTCGTGAGCATAGCGTACGCGTCCAGGACCTCATCGCTTTGTGCCTCCGTTGCCTGCATTACCCAGATGCATTAGCACAGGCGCGCACACAGGGTTGCGCAAGCTAGCCTCCTTGTAGAGCGGAACATAAGCATTCCTGCCCACCAGCACCTGCCCACGCAATCTGAGCCGGCAGCCGCCCTATCTATAGCAGATACCAGACAGGTGACGCAGCTCAAACCTGCCATGCCGCGACTTTGGCTCCACTAAAAGCTGCAAATCCGCATGAACCTGGCATGAATCCGCATGAGCCGGACAAGTCCTGGCAGCCCTCGGTCGGCGCACGCGGCACCCTGGCCTCTTGGACGCACCTGCAGCGTGAACAGCTTCTCCCGGGCGCCCAGCATCGAGTCCTCCAGCGCTGCCAGCTTGTTGGCATAGAACATGACCAGGCCCACCGCCTCACGGCGCTTGAAGTCGCGGAACATCGCCAGCAGCCGGGCGGCCTGTTCACGAGACACGGGGACACGTTCTTGTTGTCGTTTGGACCTCCGAGTAAGACGGGTGCGCGGACCTGGGAGCAATCATTGCGTGGACTGGCAGTCAGGTATGTCTGCTAAGTCCCGAAAAAAGCAAGGCGCTTCCATTTATATTATTTGCACACGGAAACACGCGTCCAGGATCAGTAAGATGTCCGAACCGTGTAGCCTTTCCGGACTCTGTTAGCTTCACACGCACATCAAAAAAAACGCCCTCGCTACCGCCAGAACTCGCAGCCGCGGCCGATATCACGCAGCCCGGTGCCAATCTTTGGGCAGCCTTGCAAGCAATGACGGCGACTTGCAAGCAGCAGTCCTGCAACCCCGGTCCCGCCGGTACTCCTCCTCCTCCTTTTCTTACCCCTGCCATAACCCCCATGCGCCGCCCCAGTCCCAACGCCATGATCGCCCAGGACCCCAGGAGACCTCCCTAGACCCTACCAACAGGTCCTCTTGTGCCATGGCGGGGTGCACCAGGAACTCCAGTCGACCCAGCTCAATGTCAAGTCGGTACAGCCGGGACTCGCCCCGCAGCGAGGCGGCCTTCACTGGCCGCCGTACGTATGTGCGGATAATCTCTTTGTCCTGGTCGTAACGCCGCGCGGGCCGCTCACGACCGGGCCGCTGCCGGGCGCACATACGACATAAGCCAGGCAGAGGGCCCAAAGGGAAAATGGTTCAAACACTCAGCAAAGAGGATTGCAAGCGGGCGAGGGGCAGCCAGGCGGCGGCGCATGTATTCGGCGACACGGGAAGATGTGGAAGCTCGTAGTGCCTTGTGCAAATGCTGCTTAGGCAACACCCGCAGCGGCAAGCGCCTACATGATGGCTTTTTAACGCATAGACCGAAAGGTCAGGAGAACCGGTCGGCATAGATCTGTGCGCTCGGCCCACGACCTTTCCCTTTCCCTGGGCCCTCGCCGCTTCCTCCTCCCTACCCTGCCCCTATCACCTTGAGAGGGTCGGGCACATACACCATCAGGCCATTCTCGTCAAGCCATTGGAAGGCGTACATGGGATCCATGATTGTCGCATGCGGCGGGACTATGCGCGGGTCAAACCCGGCAACGGGGTTCGGATCGACAGGCTGTAATTCCTGTTGCATGGGCTGCTGCTGCTCAGCTCCAGAACCTTCGGCGTCGGTTCCTGCGGCCTGCAAGGATGCCTCAGCGGGCTGCCCCGGCTGCAGCTGTGCTTGGGCGGTTGGCTGCGGCGGTGGCAGCTTGAGCACCTCTGATCGCTGCTCCTGTGTGCCGCCCTCGCCCTGCTGGCCCTCCGGCTCCTCCGTCACCGTTGGCAGGTTACCTACCGGCCACATATTCACAGCCCGACAAACGCACGATAGCAATACGAGTCTCATATGACGCAGTAAGTATGCCAAGCTGGATTGTCATTTCAGTGAATAATCAAGTCTCAGTACAATGGATTGATGCAGCAGCGGAGAGGGGCTCGGAAGTGTTCAAGTGTTGGAAACGATTCCCGACCTGACGGCTCAGGCGCCTGCCAAACTTGCCCACAGGTCAACCTTGCAATGCCGTCCATGCCAACGATGGGCCGTGCCCACCTGCCCAGTTCATGCATGCACACCGTGATGAACGATGAACAGCATGCCGCGTGTTACAACCCCTGTGCCGCAACCACAGCGACCTAAGCCCAGCATTTAGGTCATTTAACAAGTGTCATTTAACGAAAACCAGAGAATGCGCGGCCCCCTACCGTGAGCAAGGCAGCGCCTTACCCATGCTTCAAAATTAAACCAACTGCGCACACTTACCGACGGTTATTAGTTGCTGTTGTTGCTGCTGCAGCTGCTGCTGCTGCCTCCGACGCTCCATGATGGCCACCTGCTGCTCCGCGGCTGCGGCGTCACCGCTGTCCATCTGGGCCAGCAATGCCCTGTACCGTAGCATGAAGCCAGCATAATACTCAGCACGTGCGTTGAGATGCAACACCCCAGCATTGCGCAGTACTAGTCATGAAGCGTTACTGGATCATGGTGTGGACACGGTTTATACGGGCGCGTGAGCTAGAAATGGGATAGCAGCGGGATTTGCCACCGCCATGTCAGGCTCATCGCGCGTCCCTGGCCGCAACATAGCCACAGACACCGTCCGACGGGCTGCCCACGGCATCCCAACCTGCCCCTCCACTCACTTCTCCAGCGGTGCGCCTTTCGTGATGCGCTGTTCCATTTTGTTGAGAGAGTGCTCCGACAGCACGCACTGGAGCTCGCGGAAAAGGCCCAACTCCTCGCGCGCGAAGCGCCCCTCACGCAATGCCGTCAGGCGCTCCGGAAGTGGCATTGGAGCGCCGCTGATGCGGCTCACGTCAAAGGTAAGCAGCACGCTGGCCGCCACGGCAGGCGAGTCGGCTCGGTGCTGATTTTTTTCGTTCGTAGGATGGGAAAGAGAGGGAGTGCGGGACATATGTGGGACAGGCGAAGTGGCGACATGGAGCCATTTGGGTCCATCTGGACACTACAGAAAGGGGAACCAGGATGCCAGGCGGCTTAACATAGATTGCAAGCCCAGCCAGCCAGCCAGCCAGCCGGAACCATGTATTGCAGATGGCACGGTGCGGGAAAGCCCAGCAATAATAACTGCTTGCCCTGGACACGCAATAGCGTGCCTCAGCAGCCCGACTTGTGGGTCTTTCCTCTATTCAATAAGCATCCCTGCGCCCGTAGGAAAACACCCGCCATGGCCGTTGCCCTTCCCTTCCACGCGCCGCCCTTTTAGCCTTCGTAACGCACCGTGTAGCTCCGTTCATAGGACACCACGGCGACCTGCAATGGATCTTTGTCCGACAGATTGGCAACTGCTGCCTGCTGCGTGCTATCTGTGAAAGGTGTAGGCCCGCCGCCTTGTGTGAAGCCAACTTGGGATCCAGCCTGCGAACCTTGCTGGCCATCTTGCTCCTCGATTGGCTGCCTACCTGACTCAGGGTCCTGGGGTGGCCCTGCACCTGGCTGCTGCTGCTGGCCCTGTTGGCTTTGGCCTGCGGGATAACGTTCGTGGCGAATTGCACGGCAAAAGGAGACAGCCATTCGAAGTGGGTTGTGGGTTAGCTGGTCTACGTAGCTTTTTGTTAACGTGAAGCCCACGGCATCTATGGGTTGCATCTGGACGCGTACCATAGGCATACTAAGACGGAACACGGGGGATCAATCATGTGTTTGCGGGGAATCAAATTATTTGCGGGGAATCAATTATTTTGCTTAAAAGGGAGACAGCTAACATAGCCAACTTTTTAATAGGGCAAGATAAAATAACTTGTGGAGGGCACATCTTACCAAAGCCGGGAAAGGCCCCTAAGCGACACACGCACACTTGCCGCGCTTGCGTGTCCCTTGGCAACACTCTTGTGCAACCTTCCCTGCACGTATCCTAATGCCAAGATTGATCAGGCCCAGAACCTAAGTACCTCTTCTAAAGAAGCTTAGGACGCTCCTAAGAACAGGCGCGCCAGCAGGGGGAGCTACACCGGTGCTGGGCTGCTGGACGGGTACGGATGTGGGCATCGCACTCCCAATGTCCGGCTGAGCTTGAGCTTCCTGCTGCAGCTGTGGGTCCTGGATCGGCTGCTGTTGATATTGGGGGCCCTCCGGCACGGCTTGGTACTGGACTGGCTGTGGCTGCATTTCGGCTGTCGGGAAGAATCCGCCAGGTTGAGGCTGAATTCCTTGAGCTGGCGAACCATAGGGATATGTTGCCTGATGATACACGTCCTGGTAACCTCCTGCCGGTGCCGCCATTGTTCTCTTTCTTTATAGTGTTGGGGGTCTACATGGCCATAGTCAAGGTTGACCCGCACGTACATACATGTTCGAAAGGTATTACCAAGATTATGCAATATGTGGTGCAACGGTGTACTTAAAAATGTTAGGCTTACATCTCTCATCGCCTCGGTCAGCTCCTCGCTCGTACCTCCCGCTTGGATCCGGCAACCGGAAAGGAAGCACACCTTACCGAGATTACTACTCAAGCCGTAATTACTGACCGACCGATAAGGTGTCATTACCGGTTTATGCTTATATTTTGCTGCTTGCCTGTGAAGCCCACCTCCAACCTCCGAATCAGAAAACCGCATCTGTGTAGCGCAGTCGCTTGTTTGGCAGTCGCAGACTTTTGGAAGTCACGCTGTGGAGTACTCCATCGGGATCCAGATGAATCAAAGCTTCCTGGTGTGTTCGGGAGTTTCGTTATTTCTCTTGCCGCCACCCAATCAGGTCGCTGTGTTGCGCTACGGGCGGCGCCCCTCCTGAGCTTTATTCTAACACTGGATCTGCAGATACCACTAGCATCCAACGGCCATACCCAGCGGGCTCTGCTTGGTCTGGTACAGCCCCTGGCAGCGTTTGGGACTGCACACTTAAGGTGTGGCATGCTGTTTGTACATTTTTGCTTCCCTTGACCCAATATCTATCATGCCTGAAACCATGAGCGCGGTGATACAGGGCCTTGTCGACGTCACGTTGCGGACTTAACGAGCAGCAAAAGGCCGAGGTAAATATTAATCGATATTAAACGTGTATGCCCCCCAAATATTCGGAGTTTTGCCGTGTGGAAGGCCAGCGTTAGTGATTACTGTCCGCGTGCATCGCACCACCAGGGCTCACAAGCAAGTACCTCAGGCGGCGAACAGCATGAGCAACAGCAACGGCAGGATTCGACTTCGTCAAGCGATCACGCGCAGAACTTCTACAATACGTTTAAGGCGGGCTATGAGCATGTGAAGTCTAAAGCTGCTGGGGCAGCGGGAGGCGGCAGCGGGCAGGAGCCAGCAGCGAAGCGCCTTTTGCAAACCCTAGCACAGGACCTCCGGGAAGTACTGCTGCCAGCGCAGGACATCACCTCGGCAACGCGGGTTTACACGGGGCCCGTCGCCTCCGCGACGTATGATGGCCCCACAGCGCTCGTCCTCGCACGGCAGCAGGCAACGGGTTGGCAGAAGGCATGGGATACAGTTCAGGAAAAGGTGAGACATGCGGATGAGAATGTGATGCAAAGGGAAAAGCGGGCATCATTACCTACATGGCCCATGTGGGAGTGCCACGGTCCATAGGCCACCCAGTTGCCCAGCTATGGGCAACAGCGAACAAAGCGTGTTGAGCTTCTCCGGCGGCGTGGACGGATTCCCAGTAATAGGCTGCAAGCCTCAGCTGTTGAAGTGTTGCGGGTTGCTCGTTGGGAAAATGTTTGCCAGCTGCAAAGCCAATCGCAGCATTCCGGGTTGGAAATCCCCTGCCAAGAAGGGCTCTTGGTAGTATGTCACGTGGTGACCGTTAAGAGTGTGCAGGACTTGGGACATGTTGGTTCACTGGGGTATGTACAGGTTGTAGATTTTGCATGTCTCAATCGGCAGACCTTCGGAGGGGGCTTGCCTGCATGTTGGCCGGCCTTCCTGGCTCTGCCGTGCGCCCCTTCTGGTATCTTGGGCACGAGTAGTAGTTAAGATGCGATTGAGGTATGGTTGTGGCCGCATTTGGCAGGACGCCGCAGCTCATTTAAGGATGTCCGCCCTCTCACCACTGCTGTTCCCCCGCCCTCCTTTATTGCACGTCAGCTGAGTGGCATCCCGGTGGTGTCTAAGTTGCTGAACCTCAAGGTGAGGCGAACACGGGCTGGGCTGACGCGAGCGATGCATGCACGGAAGTAAGAGACGAGCATGTATAACCTTTATGCTTGCCTCGAAATTGTGACAGCGCGTCTATTTAATATAACGGGACATGAATCGGCCGTTGTGTTGCCGTGCTCCTCCAAGCTTAGCCTTGTTCTTCATGCGAGGGTCAGTCTCATCCCAAACCCCCTCAAAACCCAAATCAAAAGGAACTCTCGTTAGCGGGCCCATGTTTGGCAGTGCATGTCTTTCTAATGCCGCGCCTGGTTATTGCTTGAGCTGTGATGTGGCATCTCAAGCCGGCCTTTGGGCGGTGCGGCACTACACTCTGGCTGTTTACAGCAGCGCGCATACAGCAGCCACTGTTGCGAATATCGAATAGCTTTTGCGATGTGCATAGAGTAGCTGTAGCAGTTTATAAGCTTGTTGAGGCGGCCCTGGGTCCGATGCCGGCTGGGAGCGTAGCGTTGCGGCTGGTTTTCCTGTGTGGGGCCACCAGGTTTGCTTCTCCAGGGGAGATGGCCGTTGCTGCCGGTCCCGCGTTTGCTTTGGACATCGTCCGGACCCGGCGTCATCCGGCGAGTCTGTGTTTGGATCCACAGCAGTGTAGTGAACAATGCCCCCTTGCCGCTTGCGCCTTTACTGCTGTTAACTTGTGGTTAATTACTTCCCGCCCCGTCTCTGTTCTCCCTCTTCCTGTTCCTGCTTGATCTGCGCAGGTGACCGACACCGCGGCCTACAAGAAGGGTCAGGAACTAGTGGAGGACCTCAAGGACAAGTACGAAACCAGCGATCACCCCGTTGTACACAAAGTAGAAGTAAGGCTCTTGCGCGACCGGTCTTCCTTTTGTTCCCACATGCTGTGTCCACCTGCTGTTCCCTCGTTGATGAGCTCAAGGATGTCCCTGTTGGCAGCCCACTAAGTCTGGCGTTGTCCCGTTGCCGACTAAGCGTTAAGGTGGTGATTTGCATTCCGGCGTACCTTTTCTTTGCCTGCCTGGTTTATTAACATATGGAGCTGCCTGCTCGTGCTCAGTGGGTCACCCATTCCGACCGTTTCAGGGGTTTGCAAATAACAACCATTTGTCCAAATCCCGCTGACCCCTGGCCCCTTTTCCAGGACCTCAAGGCACGCATGTTCACGGGCAGTGAGGCCTCCCGGGCAATGCGGGAGATCCGGGTGCGCGACCCTGCCTTCGATATGAACCGCTTTGTGCAGTCCGTAAAGCTGGATGCGCCCACGGTGGTAAGCAGATTCAGCTGTTTATGGTTGTTTGGGCGTTGGCTGTTGTCGCCGTGGCTGCCTGAGGCCCCGGAAGTATGGCAGCTGGGACTGAGCGGACAACTGTTGGGTTCCCTCTAGACAGCTTCCTGGGGTCGTGGTCACTTGGTGTCTCTTGTCGCACGATCCTTTTTGTTAGGTCGTTGTGTTGATACACACACCCCGCTTTGTTGTTCCCACTCTCCGTCAGGTTCGTGCCTTCCTGAAACATGACCTGGAGGCGCTATCGCAGCACTGTGGTCCTGAACTGCTGGAGCGCTTCGCGGGCATCTTCAAGCACTTTAACGAGCAGGTGCAGAAACGGGGGATGGGGCGTGGGTTGGCAGTGTGGGATACGTGAACATGCGGTACTGCTTTTGTTGGGGGGATGGACGGAGGATGCGAAACCTGTACGGAGGAGGTGCGATGGGCCTTGCGGCGGGGTTTGCTAGTCTCTTCCCGCCAGGCGCTGGGGGCCGGTCGCTTGCCAGTTCACTGTCTTCATTTTTCCCTCTTCTGATCTGTGGCTGCCGTATTCGCTCGACGTACTTACCGCTCTGAATGCTCCCACGTTGCCACACTTCGATGGCGTTTTTCAGGGCGTCTTTGAGGATCCCTCCATTCTCTTCATTGGCGATGTGGAGATTGTCGAGGTGGGTTTCGGGAGATTGGGTGGAAGAGCTGGTGTGGGATCTGCATGGCAGACCGGCCATGCACGCTTTGGTGCTGGGAAAGCCCCTGCTATATATGCGATCTGCGCTGGATTGAGGGCCGCCAGGCCGCCACATACATTCATGCCGGTCTGCGCGTTTGGTGGGATTCGCCTGTCTGTTGCGCCCGAGGCTCCTGGGCCTGGCTTTCCTTGAGTTCTTCGCCATCCAGCAGGATCCCTTTAGCGATGCATGAACAAATTCTTGTCCGAAAACGCGTGTGTCGTTTCCCCGCGTGCCCCGCCAGGTCCGGCTGATGGACGACGACCCCTTCATCATTGCGCAGTTCCACTGCCAACAGCTAAAGTGCACTCGCGACAAGTTTGGGAACGTGATTGATGGATCTGCTAACCAAATCCAGCGCGTGTACTATTTCTGGGGCCTTCAGCAGGAGCGCTCACCAGTGGTGACTGCGGAGGGCAAGGTGCTGCCGCCGCGATGGGTGATCAAGGACATGATGTGGCAGTCCATGTTGGCGCTGGTCTAGACGAGAAGGGGGAGGACCAGGCTGCCGGGAGGATGAGGAAAGGCGGAGTGGAAGGGAGCGTTGGGAGCGCCAGGAAAGCAAACAGCCTGACAAAGGCCGTGGGTTTCTGTCTGTAAAGGTGTGTTGAGGGCGAGGGACAGCTGGTGCAACAGCTGGTGACTCAGACGGCTGAGCGGAAGAGTTGCGGCTGGATACCCTAAACCAATGGCGACCAGGGAATGGCCTTGAAGTCGCCATGTGGAATCTGGTGGTGGCCAGGAGCGGCGTAGTATGAGGTCAAAGTTTTTTTGTCCAAGTACACAGTTAAATTCCGGTCCTTGGTCCCCAATTGTTCAAGGGAGCTCTCTGTTAGGTCCTCGCACGTGCGCGGTAGGAGTGCAACGGCGCCTTTCCTTAAGCTACCCTTTTCCTCTCAATATATGTTTAAATTGTTGCAGGCGTCGTGAATTGGTGCGTATATGCATGTGCAGTAGGTATAGTTCCAATGGTGCACTACGTACCGGCATGCGTAATTAATATGGGCGGGTGGCAGGATGAGTGGTTACTTTTGACAAAATCTGTTTAGGTTGGCATTGCGCAGCGTTGTGTTGGTCCTTGTTAGCACTAGGCCAGGTGCTAAGACGATGTGGAGATAAGTTTCTACGGCGGCTTCATTTTGGAAGGATTGGCCCGAACACGTGAAGTCACAGCAGCAGCAATGTAATAGACTGCAAGTCGTCCGCAGCAATGAGTGCATTTGGGGAGGACCATCGTGTGTGGCAAGGAATATGGGATGATATGGGCAGCGCAGCCCTCAGAGAACCAGACCGGGAGTGGCAGAATGCTAGGCTATTCGTTAGTGATGCTGGCATATTGAAGCAACTTAGTGATGCTTGCATATTGAAGCAAAAAATTCTCCATAATTCCTCAACCGGCATATGTTAATGTCAAACTGCTAAGTAGGGCGCCAACGGGCCCTACTGGTGGCCCCAGATAGAGCAGGCGATAGCTTGTGTCATGGCGAAGGAGTACTAGGGCAGTCCAATGTGCGCAGTTTACCGAGGCTGACTGGACCGGAACGATTGGCGAGGTAGGGACGCTGGCAACGCAGCTTGGGTTGGGGCGGCAGAAGTAGGCCGTGCGTTGCGCGTCGTTGCTAGGTAGGATGAGTCGTACATTAAGGTGCTATTGCGTGTTCGTTAAGAGCCCCTCGCACAAATGTGTCCGGTCGTACTGTGCCGAATAAACGGTCCATACAAGACGCCCCAAAAGCCAGGAGCGAATTTTACCGCGCGGGTGCGCGCGTGCGATTCACAAAATGCGCGTGTACAAGTGTATATAATTTTTCTTGGCGAAAAGGCCGAGGTGCGCCAGCGCGTTGCGCAGGTGGGCATGTTGGCCACAGCCGCACGCGGCATGCAGGCCGGAAATGTGGGTGGCTCCTTTGCCGTAATTGAAAGAACTGAAATCATACAACTTAGCTTGCAAGGCTGGGCTCATGACACGGCCGCGGGAAGAGGAAGCGTTTGGCGAAGCGACACTCTTGTGCAAGCAAACGGTCGCGCCTTTGGTAGCGCAACGTATACAGCACCTTGTTCAGAGTAAAGTCAAATTACAAAGTTGCGCAAAGTATAACATACATAAACTTAATTAAACATAAGAACAGATAAGACGTTGGACGCCGCTGTTGGCTTGGAACAGCTATTTGCTGTGCATAGGGCCGTGCCCGCGTTAGCCGTGTTGCAACAGCTCAGGATGGATTTCAGCCAGCAACAGGCGCAAGAGCTGCTGCACAACCACCGGGAATGTCTTCAGTTGGACACGTATAGTTTTGGTCGGCGGGGTCGAGCATCGTACGCACTGCGCACAGAAACCGAGGTGCAGCGTCTCTGTAACATCGCCAACATATCCGGTACGCGGTGGCAGGCTTGCCGAGCACGAAATGAAGGGGGGGTCGCATCTCACCATTCAACTAAGCATGCTCGATTGAATGCTCGGTAGCGTGCGAGTTTACCTATCAGGATGTTTGTTTGCAAATCCCTCCAAGCGAGAGGGCTTGGACCTATGCTGATGTTCGTTACAAGAAGTGAACTGAGGACTAATGCTACACGTCATGTATACGCGTTGCTTAGCTTGCAACGAGACGCGCCCACGATGAAAGGTATGCACGTAAATTCGCCCGTGCGCCGAACGCCTTGTAACGCTTCAACTACACTCACAATATACTGCTGCACTATTCTCTCCAGTCCTGCCACATTATGTTTCACCGACGTACTTCGGCACCTTCCACATCTATATACTTTTCGTACGCGGTCAGCTGCTTCACCAGGGCCCCCATATGGAAGGTGCCGAAATACGCCGGTGAAACATAATGTGGCAGGACTGGAGAGAATAGTGCAGCAGTATATTGTGAGTGTAGTTGAAGCGTTACAAGGCGTTCGGCGCACGGGCGAATTTACGTGCATACCTTTCATCGTGGGCGCGTCTCGTTGCAAGCTAAGCAACGCGTATACATGACGTGTAGCATTAGTCCTCAGTTCACTTCTTGTAACGAACATCAGCATAGGTCCAAGCCCTCTCGCTTGGAGGGATTTGCAAACAAACATCCTGATAGGTAAACTCGCACGCTACCGAGCATTCAACCGAGCACATGCATGCTTAGTTGAATGGTGAGATGCGACCCCCCTTCATTTCGTGCTCGGCAAGCCTGCCACCGCGTACCGGATATGTTGGCGATGTTACAGAGACGCTGCACCTCGGTTTCTGTGCGCAATGCGTACGATGCTCGACCCCGCCGACCAAACCTACACGTGCCCAACTGAAGACATTCCCGGTGGTTGTGCAGCAGCTCTTGCGCCTGTTGCTGGCTGAAATCCATCCTGAGCTGTTGCAACACGGCTAACGCGGGCACGGCCCTATGCACAGCAAGGGTTTTAGGGTTTCCAAGCCAACAGCGGCGTCCATGTCACCGACAAGGCTCTAAACGTCTTATCTGTTCTTATGTTTAATTAAGTTTGTATGTTATACATGCAGCATGTCGTGGGATCGAAACTAATACGCACATGAGGCACTTGTAAGCGGTCCTCTTGCAAAGTTTTCTGTAAATTCCTTAAAAGTCATGTGCTTTTGGATGCCAGCCCGAGCCAATCCTGCCAAATTGACAGCCAATTCGACACCCTGAACACGCTAATTCGATACCCTGTCAGGCCAATTTGACACCCCGAACAGGTCAATTCGATACCCTATCAGGCTAATTCAATACCCTGTTAGGCCAATTCGGCACCCGGACAGGCCAATTCGACACCCGGACAGGCCAATTCAGGCCCAGCACAGCCCAATTCCGAGGCTCCACAGCGCAATTCGAATACCTCCAGCGAGTCCGCCAGAACAATTCAAGACCTCGACAGACCATTTCTTTTGTCAGGAATAAAATCCAGGCTAATTCTGCGACAGAGCTCTTCCCTAATTCCAGCCCGGATCCTACCCTCCTGCCAGCATGACGGACGTCCGGGGCTTGAGTGCACACCGCCGGCTGTTGGAGGTGCTGCAGGTGGAGCTGGATGCGGCAACGACACGTGTGATGGTCACACCGGTGCTGGGCCGTGTGCCGGTCAAGCAGGGCGACCTCGATGCTTTGCAAGTCAGGCTGCACGACATCACGGGGCCCACTCCGGTCGTGGTGTGTGGCACCGCCCCACTGCTCAAGCGGGCTGACGAGGCGGCTGGGGGCGAGCGGCAAGCGGAGGGTGCCATGCCTGCTTTGAGCGGGCAGCAGGTGACATTGCTGCTTGTGAAAGTCGAGGTGTGTGTGGTTGGGGAAAGGGTGCACGGTGGGGAACTGTTTGAGTGTGCACCGTGTTTGCACATGACAGAACTGGCACACGTTTGCAGGTGGACGACCCTGCCACTGTGGAGCTGGTTCGGTGCAAGGTCGCTGCACTGGATGTCGGCTGGCTGTGGAACAAGCTACCTTGCCACAAAGCAGCAGGCAGTGCTATGCACCAGGTCGACATGGTGGGCCATGTGTATGTGGCCACCGACAGCAGCAATCTGGCTGGATGGTAGGGTGGGCAGGGTGTGTATGCAGAGGGTGCAACAGGCTTGAGAATGCGGCGATGCAGGAGGGCAGGCGTGTCAGAAGTAGGCTGGGCAGAAGGGCATGCGCAGGGCATGTGCCTGGCGTGCACCTTGATGGGCTAAGTCCTTTTGGCACCCGCTTCTTGCACCCGACATCATGAAGCTGTGGATCACGTCTGCGGGCTCACTGCGAGCCGATACAGCCATACAGTTCATATATGACTTCGGCATGGATGCGGCCGAAGTCCTCGACTCAACACAGGAATTCGCGGTATCGGTTCTGGAGGCAGCAACCAAGGCCCGTGCAGTATGAGAGCCTACCTGGTTACTTAGACGGATTTAGCGACTAGACCACTTATGAAGGTGTTGATTAACACCAGGGGTTTCCCTTGGGGTTTTATAGTCGCTTGCAGTCCATCGGAGGCGCTCGAGATAAGGTGCCGTACAAGAGTAGATTCCTGCGGAAGAAAGTCGCACCTTCCAGAGAAGAGTTACGATACCGGTCTGCAGATGGCAAACTGCTCCCCTTCACCGAGCCGAAACACCCAAGGTCGCCATCCGACAGTGCAGCAGATTCGGGCAACACCAGCCACGGAAGGGGTGCAGCTTCAAGCACCTGACTATATACCATCACTTGCATCGACAACGGCCGTTCATATGGCCGCTCATATGTACATATGGCCGTTCATATATAGCCAATCCGTCTGTCCTAGCCGCCGCTACAGCACCCATGCCCGAACCCCGCCCAAACGGATGCAAGCGGACACGGCAACTTACAAGCCCTTCAACCTGCACTTCCACCTGAATCTCCTCATGTACTGCTGCAGTCGGCATGTGGCAGACATCATGGAGGAGTACTACATCGACAAATACAATGCCCTGGGACCGCACGGCTACAATATCGTGCCTGGCGCGCCACGTGCATGGCCAAGACTGCATGTGCGCCTCGCTCGCAGCAACATCCACACAGCACAGATTACACACGATGTGTCGTTGAGGGACGAACCGGCATCATCGTCATGACGGTACTCATGCCGTGCAAGCCTTGAATCGGAAATAACTACAGTCCATAACTACTGTTCTCCACTTGGCCAAGCTGCATTACTTCTGGTGTGCTTGTCATGACACTCTTGCGTGAAAGTGGCCACCGCAAGCACCATTGCCCGGCAAGCATTTCGTGCTTTGCTGCAGAGCTTTGCTCTAGACGGCTACAAGTACAGTTCCGGTGGTCACACCCCGCCCCGTCTGCAAACCGTCATTCCTCTTGTCCGTGAAAGCAGGCAGTCACTGCTCGGGCTACACCTTGTAATACGTGTTTCGGATTCTCATCACGCTTTTTACAGGTCATTAAACGTGCGGGCGCAGCCTCAGCTCTAGATGCATCAAGGCAGGCTGTACTGTGCACTCAAACGCAAAGTTCTTGTTCGTGTAGTGCAGCTGCTCTTTCCGTTCGGCACCTGTGAGTGATACTTCCTGTCGGTCACACGCACCCAGCACTACTCCACCAGATCTCTTCGTCCAAGTGGACACTGCAAGCAGTCGTCTTACTCTTCTTCATATAAACGAGCCGTAGCCCCCTTCGCATTCCACACTGACGCATGCGCAGTTGAGTTGAGCCCTGTCCAGTACGGCAGCCATCCACTAACACAACAGTACGTTCAATCCTTCCGCTTCCAAACCGAGTAATGCGCGGCCAGCTGCTTCACCAGATACCCACGATGTTTTTTCGGAAATATTGAGCAAAAGGATTTCGGTGTGGCGGAGACGGGTAAGGTTGTAGCGCTCCTAGCTCAGTACTCAGCAATCACTCAGGAGCCCAGCCAGTAAAGGTGTGCCACTATTATTTATAAAAAAAACGGATAACTAGAAGTATGTATGTATTTGGAAAAATACATGTCGTTGACGTTGTGGAATGCGAGGAGATGTGCATAATTGGCGCAGCTACAATAGCATGTGCCTGATTTAGTAGCATGAATGAAGAATAAAAACACGCATTGCACATTATGCTTCATGTATTGTGCGGTGCTGCTGTTGTCCACTTACCGTACTCGACGACGCGAACGTCGAATCCAGGCAAAGACTTGACGGAGTAATTTCTTGGTATTAGAATATTGTGTTTAAAAATCGATAAAGCTTTGAATAAAAGAAACCAAGCATAGCATCAGTAGCAAGAGCTGTTGTCCTACCTTCGCGTTCTGTGCAATCCCAGTTACCCACGTAAAAAAATCCATCTTTCCTGCATTCAAAAAAATCTCCTTGGTATTCTGCATGTGCGAGCGAAAGAGAACTATCCGGATCTCGAGCTCGACGCCAACGCGACTCTACACCTTCCCGCCTCACTGACGCCGTATACCAATAGGAGTGGCCAGCCAGAACTTTACAGGATTACAAATCTATTAAATATTTGGAGCCTAAGGTAAAAATGTTGAAGTGGGATGTCATGTTGAGCTACCGTACAGCGGACACGGGCGCCAAGGAATTTGGAGGTGATGGCACCGTCCTGCAAATAAAGACGTATTTGGAGGAGCATGGCTACACTGTCTACCTGAATGAGAATGTCCTGGAAGGTGGACACGACTGGAGCAAGGAGATCCAGCAGGCCGTGATGAACTGTATGGTTTTTGTGATGCTGTGCTCGCAAGGGTAAGCGCATCTATGCATGGCCTGTTGCTGGGCCGCACGCAAAGGTCAGCAGCAGGGATTCCGTTCGACCCACCCAAGGGTGGAAATAGTCTTGCCTTCTCTTCCCCTCGGGTTGATCAATCCTCGCCACTTGTGTATAGCCAATCCTTACGCCTCGCAATGCCGGTGCATTCATGCTTAGAAGCTAATGCTGTACTTGGCAGGTACGGCGAAAATAAGTGGACTTTTGGTGAGTTCCAGTTCGCCGAGAGCGAGCGCAAGCATATCATCCCGTTGTGGCACAGCGGAACGTACCCGCCCCCACCCCTCAAGGTCATGCTCGGCAACTACACCCGCGTCCCAAAGGGCGGAAAACCGCTAGTCCAGTGCGACTTCGACACCTGTATGAAGCAGCTGGAGAGCCGACTGGGCCAGGTAGGTACGCCGTACGCGGTAAGGTACGGCTGTACTGTACCGTACGGCCCGGGGTCCGAGGCGAGGCATATCAGGTATACCTGCAGAAGCAACGCCTGGCGCAGTAAAGGAGACTTAGTTGGGCGAGCTTACGCTGCAACAATCTCTGCAAATGCTATATGCTACTAATCTCCGGTAAACGACTGGCAAGGTCGTCGGGAGGAGTTTACCTGAAGGGGATTTCCCCAAGAAGGCGTGTCCGAAAACTAGCTTGCTTTTGCATGATAGTCCTTAGCTTACAGCCATGCTGCTTGTTGCTACCAAAGTCGGCTCCAACGTCGATGTGGTGTGACCCCCAACGTCACGGCCGGCCCCCCCAGTATGGGTGCAAGCCAATGCGGCCACCAGGACCAGGATGGCGACCTGGTCCCGTACCATCCGCGACATTTGATGATGCCCAATCCCGGTCCGAGGCAAGGGCAAAGGCAAGTCCGGGGCTATCTGCGTGTCTCTTTTCCTGTTCAGCGGGCAAATGTGCTGCAGAGGGCTGAAATGGCAATCGATTAATGCAGCCGTACATGGCACATGGACATTGTTGCTAGTTCCGTTTCAAGTCTCATGGCACAGGTGCTCTCGTACATGGGTGGCTGCTGGCCTCTCACAGTGCTTGTGTGCGTGCTCGGTCTGCACCAAAACCACGGCGGCACTATATATTCCTCTACGAATGTACACAAGCAGGGAATCGCTTTATGACTTAAAAGTCAGTGGCGTGACAATGGCGAAACATTGAAAGCAAAGGGATCTCCGGTGCAGACTCACCGTATTTGTTGTGACTCAATGCATTTTAATTGGCTGTACGGCGCAATCGTACAGGCGCTGGCCAAGACCGCCCAGGAGGCCGCTGCAGCTCGCGACGCCACCAAGCCCTCCACCACACCTACGAGCTGCATCCGCAAGTTGATTGGCCATGAAGATGAGGTCTTGGTGTTGTGCTGGTCGTCCGATAGCCGCACACTAGTCAGCGGTGGCGCCGACAAACAGACACTGCTGTGGGAAGCTAGCTCCGGCCGCTGCATGAACATGCTCCGGGGCCATCGACATGAGATCTGCGCCCTGGGATACAGCCCCGACGGCCGAAGGCTTACCACCGTAGGAGAGGAGGGCACCGTGCGGGTTTGGCACGCGGAGGATCCTCAGTATGAGCCGCCGCTGATCCTGCCCGGCGATGGGAGCTTAACAAGCATGAGCTGGTACCCGGACAACTACCACTTGCTTACGTGCAGTCGTGAGCGCGTCTTGCGAGTATGGAACGTGTGGCTAGGGGCGAGGGAGCGGTTGTTACGCCTGCCAGACAATGTAGGTTTCCATTTGCGGCTATCACCGGATGGCTATAAGCTAGCAGCCAGCGGCAGTCCACCGATAGTTTGGGTGTTGAAGGAGACCACGGGGGAGCCCCTGTTATCGATGCAAGGACACGCAGACACCGTCACGAGCTTGGCGTGGTCTCCGGACGGCAGATTTCTGGCGACGACGAGCCGGGACAAGACCGCGCGTGTGTGGGATGTGGCCACTGGACAGTGCAGGATCATCTTCGCGGGGCATACTGAGTTTGTCACGGCAGCGTGCTGGTCCCCGGACGGCCGACAGCTAGCGACCGGGAGCGACGATAAAACACTGCGCGTGTGGGATTTGGGCTCGGGTGTGTGCCGCCGTACACTCAGTGGGCATGCGGGAGCGGTGACGAGTGTGGCATGGTCACCAGACGGACGCCACGTGGCGACAGGCTGCACCGACAAGAGCGTGCGCATCTGGGCCTAGTTCTGCACCGCGCAAAATATAAGTATCGTTTGCTATAAATATAAGCGGAATGTGATGTGTGAGTATGAGTGCTTAGTGTTATTATAAGGGGCAGCATGAAGGTGACATAACATGTGATTGTTGAAGGCAGCTGCAGGGCTCTTCACCAGGGTACCCAAAAATTTCAGTTGTGCCCTCTAAAACCCTGAAACCCTTGAAAACCACAAAAACCACGAGGATCAACCTGTTCATTACAGCAGGCTAAGGCCAAATATATTATACATCGTGATGCACATTGTATTTCTGCAGCATGCGCTTTTTTGTTGCAACCTGAAAATTTGCTCCTCTCTGACAAAGAACACATCGACCAGCTGCAGGCTTTCACCCGAGCCGCCGCACAAAGCACTGCGGATGGGCCAAGATGGGGACACAGACCAACACTGCAGAAGTGCATGATACTATCGATTTTTTTACTGTTATTACGGAGTGGGAGGCTTCTGGGTAACTTGAGGTATCTATTTCCGAAACAGTGGTATCAGCAGCTATGTTATTACACCATACCACAGTGGAATAAATCTTTCTCCACATTCCGTGATGCAGATGCCTCGATGCAGATGCCTCGATGGACTTTACATTGAAACTCTTGCGGACATCATCGATATGCATGACGGTGTTAACACCGGGGCACGGCCGGAGGATGCACCGAAGGTTGGAAATGAGCGAGTGTGCATCCTCCTCTATGCCGATGACGTTTGTGTTCTGGCAACGACACTGGGACGCATGGGGGAGCTGCTGAACATTGTGGACATGCTCTGTGATGATTTTGGGATGGGATTTTGGGATTGGTGAGTGGTTGGAAGCATACGCGTCTAGATGTCCAGCAGACGTGTACCCGTCTGGCGAAGTATAGGCATTGGATGGGTCTAGCGGCCGAACAAGCGGGGCGGAAGGAGATAATATCGGATATCACAACGTTTATCCCGCGTTCAGCGAATCGCAAGCTTATGCAGCTTAGGCTTTGCTGTTGAGCATTGGTAGCTAACCGGGCGCGCAAGGGACGGCGTTATATACCTGGGGAGGAGCGAGTGGGATGCCTGCTGCGGCACTTATAGCCATATTGAGGATGAGAAACAGATTTTGCTGGACTGCCCGGTGTACGACAAAATCCGATCTGATATTGATTTCCCACGCCTCGAGCATAGGAAGGACGCTATGAAGTGGGAACGTGAACGTCTGGCAAGGATGCTGGAACGTATATGGTCCCACCGCAACTGTATCGTTCCCTTGGTCGTTAGTATCCTTTATCACTTGCTTTGTCTGAAGTGCTAGGTAGGATGGTGCTTCTAGGCGATCTGGCAGCCCTTGAGCCCTCGGCTCGTATTTGGGCAGTTTGCAGGTACGGGGAACGCACCCACGACCATGTAACAAACACACACAGATGCCTCAATGCAGATGCCTCGATGCGGATGCCTCGATGCGGATGTGGATGTAAACATATTGCCTTCCCACCTCCCTTTTAACCCCGGCCTTGCCAGCTAAAGGAAATAGCCTGATGTGTTGTACTTGCATGTATACCCTGTTGTATGATAGTGGCCATCAATACACCGAGCCACCGCGCCATGGTGCCTCCAAGCTGTGGAGCCACCAAGCAGGAGAGCCGCTGAGCCGCCAAGCTTCACAATCAAACCTCAACCCATCAGCCCCCTGAGCACACTTCCTGACGAGCCACCGATCTGAAGATCCCCCACCATCATCCAGGATCATATACTCACATGTGTCCATTGATTGCAGCAATAATGGCTTCCGTGGCTACGCTCAGCACCCGGGTCGCGGGGGTCCACCCATGACCAGCGGGTGCAGGGGGCCAGTAGAGGTTATTAAGACACGGTGTAAGGGAAGGCAGTGCTCTGAGAGACATCTTACCTGGATGTCCAACGTACACGTTTGCGCACAGAGACCTACGAAGGATGTTCAGCATTCGTCAGGCATCTGTAACGAGACTGCTGTACAAATAAAGGCATAACTCGTGGGAGGTGTATCTCATGCAGGAACCTGAACTCAATTCGCTTCGCCAAGGTCCCCGCGATCCTCTCCTTCACATCCGAACATACAGGCGCGCACCTCCATGCCTCCGAGGCGGAATTGGCAGACCCAGTGTTATCACCCAATCTCAAATCATCATCAGCTGCTCATCCCACGCTTAGTATTCTTTCTAAGCTTCTCCGTGCTGTAGTTTAACAGCCTTTTTGCTATGTGTTGCTTGTTGCTGCGGCCGATTCGGGAAAAAATGTTTAGGTGATAGCGCACTGATTCAGGGCTCGCCATTCTCTAGCTCTGTGGGGCTAAGCAACTAAGCCAGTCCGGAGGTGTATGTAGACCACGTGGATGCACCATCCCTGTAGTCCGTTACCGCATCGATACAGTGAGAGTCTGTGAGGGGATCCGTGTAACCGTCGGGCAAGGATGAATGGACGAATGAATGCTGCCATCCCCTTGAGGAGCGCCATCAGTTCATGAACCCCACCTAGCCCAACACTGCAGGGTGAAAGCCAAAACCGTCAACCTATGGAATTCTGAGACTGATACAATCAGATTGTGTGCCGGATTGACTGGGTTCCTAAAGTTTTAATCTTTCTCGCTTCCATCTCGGTAAAACGAAATGATGAGTATGCCGTGGATGGGTTTCGTTTTTCTCGGACAGATCCGCCTCAGCTAGCTTTTTTGAACAGTCAGCACGCCCGGTCCGTTCGCAGCTCAGGACGGGCTGATGTGCCCTGATGGTTGTTAGCCCCGCTGGGGCCCCTCGGACTATCCGAACAGCCGTCACCCGTTCCCAGATCACGATGCTCAGTACCAACAGAATTCACCTAGCAGCAAGAAGCTAAACAAGAAAGCAGTTCCAGTATCACCAACTTCACCAATACCCGTTCCCTGCTGTGTGCTTTTCATTCCACCTCTTCAGCCCACCTCTCGCACACGCCGCGACCTAGGGGAACTTCTTATCTACGAAAGCCTTGAGCCCACACAGAGCCGCATCCAGGTTGGGGTTCTCTCCTCAGTCGGTAGCGCGCTATAGCCTGGATTTGTGGGTGGGTAGCAGTACTTACTACCTGGGCCTTACGTTCGCGGCCTACCGGCGGTTCAGCGGTGGTTTATTTTTGGAAACCATGGGTGAGTGGGATAGCTAGGGCACCACCCGACCAGAAGTGAAGGGCCAAGAGAATAGCGTGGCCCCGGCGTCTGTGGGTGTTTCGGTGTTGTGTTTCTCAGTATCTCCCCTTTTAAGGGGGGGCCCCGGTGGGGTGTCTCCCACCTCATTTGAACGCCCTAAACCTCAAGCCCTGGTCACGGTCACCCCTCGCTCCCATCCCTCGCCGTCGTGGTTCAAGGCCCATGACCGGGGTATCGGGCGCTGTGTGGCAACCACTTGAATAGCTGCTACAGCTCATGCATCCTCCTTCAACAGCAGTGCGTAGGCTAAAACACACATATCATATGTAACATATGTAATATATATAACATGTTACATATATATCATATATAAAATATTTATACACGCGAGGAGCACCCGTTCCAGGATCCTGCGCCCTTGCGCCGTTTTGCACCATTTCACTCGCTCTTCCCCCCTCCACCCCTTACAACAGCTGCGTACGGCGAGGACCTAGGGAACCAGGTAACTGGGTAGTTGAGTGGTTGGTTGGTTGCGTGCTACGGCCTATATCCTTCACCGGTGCCAGCACCATCCTTCGCTTTTCCGTCAGCTGCTCTGCGGAGGGAGGGAAAGGGGGGGAGGGTCACTTCCCCACCTTCCTGTAGTGCCGCCGCCGCCGCCACCGCCGCCACCGCCTCCACCGCCGCCACCGTCCTCCTCGTCCTCCTCGTCGTCGTGTGATACATAACAGAGTGCCGTGCCATGTGGGATCCGTTGGGGTTGTATGTTGGTGGCCCCGAGTGCTTGGAACGGGCAGTCTCCCAGCCCTCCATCACTTAGATCCCTCCTTGTACATGTGCAGCGTCCCGGGCCAGCCGTCCCCCCCTCCTCACTCCCTCATCCCGACCCCCCTGGGTCCCGCCCAGATCTTCGTGACGTTGCGACGCGGGGACGAGTGGCCTCCAAGAACTGTGGACGTGAGGTGAGGCGAGGGGAAGGGAGATGGCGCTGACAAGAAGCCCCAAGCGAACCCCCGAGTAACCGAACAAGGCGGAGGAGGTCCTGTTTGAATGGAGTGGGAGCGGAGGGGGTGGGAGCCCGTGTGAGAGACCCAGGGCCCGGGTCTCGAAACCCTAAAACCCTAACCCCTCGTATCTCACCTACGAGGTACCGTGCTGGGCCTCCATGCGCCTCCTAAACATGCCGCCATCCACCAGGCCGCAATAACATCCGTGATCACCACCACCACCACCATCACCACCACCACCACCACCACCACCACCACCACCACCACCACCACCACCACCACCACCACCACCACCACCACCACCACCACCACCTCAGATCACACAGCCCTGGGGTTCCTGCGCAGGGTGCGCTACGAGCAGACGATTGGCGACCTCAAGGCCGCCGCCGCCAAGGCGCTTCAGGTACCGGTTGACAAGCAGCAGCTCTTCTGGCACGGCAAGGAGCTGACATCAGCATACGACAGTCGTACACTGCTGGACATGGACATGCACACCGGCTTCGCCCTGCAGGGGTATGACCTGGTGGGTTGGGCCTGTGCGTGTGTACGGACGTGTGTACGGACGTGTGTACGCGCATGCGGGAGGCCATCTTTGCGGAGTGCGGGGGTGGGGAGCGGCTTTGTGAGGGAAGAGGAGGGGCGAGAGGGGGTTAAGGAAGGACACGGGGAGTCGCCAATTTCTGACGGTTAGCCGAGTGGGGGTTGGGATCGAGGCCCCGCCACAGGGAAGGTTGCGTGAAAAGGAAAAGGGCGCAAAGGAAGCATCCAGTGTTCTTCCTAACGTGCAGATTCGTGGGTGAAAACGATTGGGGAGTTGCAGGAGCAGGAGGAGTTAGGAGACGGGGCTCAGGCTCCCCCTGTCCCACCCCGGTGCGATATCCGTGTACATATTTCTGTTGGCAGCTGATCGCACCCGCTATTGCTGTACCTCGCTATGAGGGCCTATGATGAAGCAACCCATAAAAGAAGGGCACATGCACACACCTGCGCCTGTGATCTCTTTATCACCGCCGCTACACGTCAGCTTGTGCCGTCAACTGCTGTGTTACCAGCTCATAGAAGTCAATAGTTTCTATGTCCTCGTTTCTCCATTTCAACACGCCCTTAGGCACGTCCGCATACATACACACTTTATATACACACAGAGATACATACATGGCTCATGTTGCTGTTGTCAGCACTTTTTCTCGCGGCTCAGCTCACTGAAACACACAATACACATATCGTGTGTGTGTCTGTGTGTGTCTGTGTGTGTGTGTTGCGCCTCGGTTGCGTTACCCAGATGTGAGAGGTGTAACGAGTGCCCATACACGAGTCAGCAGAGGCCCAAGAGCACATAACACACACATATACACGCGCACGTCGACTCCCTGATGGCCACTGCACCCCTCAGACGGTACCCCCCAAGTTCTGGCCGCCAGTGAAGGAGACCCCCGAGGGGCTGGTGGTGCTCGCGTGAGCGGCCAGAGGGATTACGAGACGCCGCGGTGCAGCGGGGAACTCCAGGCTGGGTGCGATACACAGAAGCAGCAATGGACGTCTCCAGGAGGGAGTGAAAATGGCATATGGCACAGTACGGCAGCCCTCGTCTCTGCGGCCTTCATCCGTTTCCAGACCTTGCCTGCGGGGGCCTGCTGTCGCACCACCACATGGCTTGCTGCCGGGCAGCGGGGATATGACTCCCTTCCCTCCCTCCCTCCCTCGCTGTTTGGGGAGGTCGCTGTCCAGGGAGGCGGTTGCCGGGCTACCCGCCTGCCTGGGTACACCTCTTCGGGCTTTTTTCCTGGCCCGTAAAAGCAGTACCGATGGGAATTGGGGAAGGTCCAGATTCTCTGTGAGATGCGTAAGCGCAACGTCTCTCCGTTGTCATTTTGACGACCAGCCAGACGTAGTGAGCACGGAGAGCGGCGGGGGTCCTAGATATTAGGCGGTCAGAGAGTCGGCAAGAGTGTGAAGACAGGTTCCGTGTCAGCGTTCCAGCACTGACTAGCGCAAAGCAGCTCAGCCGCAAGAGCTGTAGAGCCGAGGGAAAGAGTCCTGCGCAGTAAAATACAGTGTACGGCGGGGACAGTACGACAGCTTCGACATGTGTAGCGGGAAATGCTGCGCTTAACTAACTGCAGGAACCGCTGGACCTTTAACATGACGCTTCTGGGGAGATTACTTCCGTTTAATCATGCAGCTCCTCTGCTACACCATCGAGCTTCGCGAAAGCCTTAGCCTCGCATGTGCCGACCATTACAGAGGTTAGGTTCAATACCATACATCGGAAAGCCTATTCGCATGATTCAGCCGTGGTACGAAGCACTGCCAGAGTGAGGAAGCCATCTGCCAAATGCGGCAAATGAACCCCCTTCAGAGCACCCGCGAACAAGGTACCTGGGTCACCGACATTGCCAGAAAGATAATCGTACGACATAGTACGGCCAAAATCTATGTGCAACACCACACGCTAAGATGCGGCCCCAGCGGAAGCCCAAGTCAAGTCAAAGAAGACCCTGACCTTGACTCTGATGACCCAACTCTACAGCGACGCCCGCACTGTAAAAAATCCTTACATGCTCCGTATGCATATGCACATCTGGCCATATAGCAATATGTCTTGTGCGTAGAATTATATATCCGTGCTGCATCCCGTGTGTTGCAGTATCCGCGGTACTAGGCACCAACTAAAAATAACAAACAGGTATGGTAAAACTGTTATTAATGTGTGTACGTATGTATGGATGGATGTATGCATGTATGTCAAAAGAGGTCTCCACACGAAACAAAAGATGTAAGATCCGCATCCCGCCCCTCGTGACGTAAACCATTATTTAAGCGCCACACGGCACCCACACGCCGCCGCCACCAGCAGCATCAACAGCAGCAGCTTATCGACCAGCTTATCGACCAGCTTATCGACCTGGCCGCCAATAAATACAGACACACAAGCGTCCATCCCCGCGAGCTATCAACATTCCCAGTGATGACCCCCAAATCGCGTCCTCCTGCTATCCACATTCCACTCCAAGAGCTGTACACCATACACCTGCATCACATGCATTCGGCACAACGTGCGGGGACCTCCATACGTAACCATACAACCGCGCGCCGAGGGAGGAGCGGGACGTGATGGGCAGCTGAAATGGCAGCAGCAGTTCGTGCGCGGTGCCTGTCCATATTGCATATGTTCAAGTGGTAAAAGAGGGCCAGTGGAGGGCAGTGTGAAGGTGGGTGCTTAAGGGTGGTCGCGCTCGTTACGTGCTCTCGCCACGACAATCCTTCTCCTCTCCCACCACACCGCCGTCCTCCTTTTTCACTTTGCGCGCTTCCCACACCCTCCCCCAGCACCCAGCATCCCACTTTGCCCCAATCTAACAGGTCACACAACAATGCCCAGCCACGCAAACCAGACGGTCAGCAGTCAATGCGCCGCTAAGGGCGTGGGGTATGTTGGGGCGCAGCTGCTTCGGGGCCTGACGTCCACTCGATCGCCTCCTTGCTTCCGTTGGGAGTCAACAACCCGACACGGTCTTGAGCGCTGATGGCGCTAACAGTATGGCCACGTTCAAGCAAGTCAAGTAAAAAGTTATCATATTGCACATGGGTCAAAAATTGCACAGGGGTATATTTGCCGGTCAACCCCAAAAAGCCGTTAGCGGGTAAGCTCCAAGGGACCCGTGGATTGGAGGCTTATCGAGGAGGTAGTGTCCAAGACAGGCAGGTTGAGGAGCCGGCCTGGGCAAAGCCCGAGGGCATATAGTGGGATGTTGCTGCTGCCTGACGCCTTCTGGTGAAGCCGTTTTGATGTTTTCAATAATGTCCTGCTGGCTTGCGTGGGGAGGTGCCGCGCAAGGGAGGGACCTGCTGCTGCATTGTTCGCCGCAGCGTCGTGGCCGTGGTGATGTAGTTTGTAAAACTGCGGAGCAAGATTGCGGCGGGGCCCCATCGTGCAGGGTGTCGTGTTGTGGATTGAAAGTGGTTTTGGGATGGCCGCAAAGTCGACCAGCAGGACGGAATACATTGTATTTTGTCCTGATAACCAAGACATACTGACCTTTTCTCGTTAAATGTTTGACCCGGCAACTGGTTGAACTCGTGCTTTCTCTGTGGGATGCAGACGGACACGCGGGGAAGCAACAAAGCACGATTGAGGGCCAAAGGTCTAACAAGATGGAACTTGTCCTAATGTAACACTCGCATAATACATACATCAGTGAGAATGAATACTGCCCATCGAAAGGGATTAACAACCGAGCGCCTCTACTCACGTTGAAGTTGACAACATGGATGCCCACTTCTTCATGAGATTTGATGTGGTGCCTCCTGCGGAAGACGTTTGTGCCGTGGAAACGCATTGAATAAGAGGTGTTGCGTGAAGGACATGCCGCTGCTGCGTGCGGGGCCAGCTTTATCTTACTTGTCGATGCCTTCTTGAACTGCCTCGCGCGCCAGGAATCCAATATCGCCTGCCCGAACGGTGCGGCTTGGCATACTTGGCAACGGAGAACTGCTCTGCAAAACGCTAGTTTCTTTGGGCTGTGCAGCAAAGCTTGAAATGTAGGGATCCATCCTAGGTCTATCTACAGCAGTTTCGAAGTAAAGACGGGTTGTGGCGAAGAGCTTTAATCAGCTTTCTTAGTACGAGTTTATACGGCAATAGTCTCCAATCGCAGCAAGTTCTGTGGCTTTTAATAAGAATGAGTGCATATATATTATGTTCGTAAGCACATACTTACAATGCAACGTTTTCATCTGTGAGGAGGCGCAGCCCACACCCGTCTGGACTCCTCGGAAGGGGCTCGGCACTTTTGATATGTGTCGGGCCCCTGAGTAAATATTGAAGCCATCACACAACGCTCATTGGTTCGGAGTTTCTTGCTCCTGCTTCTTGGCGCCTGGGTCATCTTCGGGACTACAGGTAGCGGCAGCTCCGCGGCAAGCTCAGCCGCAACAGGCCGGGCGTATGCATGTCTACGCGTAAGGGTGCAGGCCCTCACAACCGCCCTCAGTTCACCGAGGAAGAACTGCTGCGCCGGCAGATAGCAATAGTGCAGTCGTTCAAGGGCTTGCTGCAGAACGAGGCGTCCGTCGCAGCACAGACCGTCGCCGCTTTCAGCGACCTGCTGGACGACTGCATCCTCGACGTGGCGCAGGAAGTCCACCGGGAGGCGCGAACCGGCACACTACCAGCCCCCTACGCCGGTGCCGCGGTGGGCCCCGCCGGCAGCCCCTCGCCGGGCCCCTCTACGGGGCCCCCCTCAACCGCAGCCCACCCGCCGCCACTGCCAACCAAGCCCGGCACTAAGGGCCCTGTGGACGTCTTCGGTCAGAGCCATCCGCCAAAGGCAACGGACATCGTAAGCTGCAGGAACTGCGGCCGGCAGGTACAGGCAGGCAGCTTTGCACCTCATCTGGAGAAGTGCATGGGCAAGGGGCGCGCGGCGGCGCGAGCGGCCAGTCGTAGGATGCAAGGGCAGTCGTGAGAGCGCTGGGGCGCTGGCTTGGCGCCGTTGGGGCAGGCGGGCCAGGGCTGTTCGTGTCAGCGGCACAAGGGGGCTACGCGCGTTCCGTTAGTGCATGTTGCTCTTGCTGTCGATATATTAGTGGGTTGGTGCGGGTTGTTTGAATGCATGTGGAATGCCATGAGCGAGTTTTGCGTCTGCCACGGTGGACTGTGGATAGGTTTGGTGGAACTTAGGACAACGAGATATAAGTAGTAGAAAGAGCAGTAGGATAGGCTTTGATAAAGGGTTACGTTAAGCGTTATGCTGCGGCTGTTCTCTTCCAGCAGCTAGCGGCCACGGCTCCGGCGTTGGTTGCGATGTGATGTTTCGAGGGTCAGTCTTGAAACCTGGAGTGAGGATCCCGGCTAGTCAGGTGTGATTGTTGGTCGGCAGGACCTTGGGTGGTCTTGAATCGGGTTCAAGATTCGCGACTGTTGTGTTGGCTGTTTTTCCCATGTGCACGGGCCCCGCGATGGCTGACTTGTGCTTGGGACGTAGTGACTCTCTTGACGATGAAATGTACGTGGAAATGACTGACTTATTTGACAGCATATCGGATTACTATTGTTTGTTGTTTTACTGCAGTACTACAGCGGGTCGTTAAATCGTTATATCGCCGGGATGCTTGCGTCTTGTTCTTTGCAGCATACGGTGCTGCATGAAATGTAAGAAATTGGCATGGTTACAACGTGGAGACCGCTGTCTTCAGGACCAGATACCTGACGGGACGGGAAGAATGGTCGTTGTTTGCATGCTTCTATCATGTCCTTTTGCACGCTGGCAGTTTCCTTGGTATGCAATTCAGCCCAAACAAGCACCCAGATATACATATCCCATTTACATATTAGTGTAAGGGCTTGAAACATGGTCGCACGGGCTTCCCTTATTCCACCGCAATCCATTCAGTTGAGACAGGACACGCAGCCGCCGGAGCCACAGGGAATTCTGTTATATTATAAGTATGTTCCGTTGCATGGAAACGATGCCGAGGACGTGCAACGTTTCTATACAGAGCTGTGCGGCCGGCTAGACCTCAGGGGGCGAATACGGGTCGCACGAGACGGCGTCAACGTAACGGTACGGTCTCAAGCACGTACTCTCATGCCTTAACTTCGCTAAAATGTGATAAAAGGCGGCTTTAGCACTTTCTTCTGCGTTCCTGATGTATGTCACGAGAACGGAACAATGGATCCTTTTAAAGTGCAGCAGGGCCTTGGCAGCATCAAAGATATGATGCATGGGCATGTTAGAGAAACCTTCGTAAATTAAAGCTTGTTGATGCCCTCGGTGGGGCTTTTACCGTCCATCACCCCATCGTTATTCCCTCCCGCCAGCTCGGCTACTTCAGGACAGCCAGCCCAGCCATCACAATTCGTAGACCTAAGCTCCATTTTAGTTGTCTCTTAGCCGGCTCCACATTCACGAACCCATGAGCCTCCTTCGAAGAGGTTCCCTGACTCCTAAGCAACCGACCCCCTCCCTCCCCCTCCCTCCCAGCCCTCCCAACTCAACAGCCTTTCCCCGTGTTTCGGGGCGCAGTCATCCTTACCACCCATATGTGCTGACTTAGGGTTCTGAAATCATTCTCTTCCCGGGTTCAGCGCCCACCACCGGCATTGAGTGGAATTTGCCGAACCAACGGTAGCGACAGCTCCTCTCCGGGTCGCTCCACTTGCATGTTACGATGAATCTAGAGCATGCAACTGAGCTACTAGCATCTCGTCCAGTTCCACGCGAAGAAACAGCAAAGAATGGGGAAGGCCCAAATGCGCCGCGCGCCATCATACAATTTCTTCCTCATCCCCACTCTTGAGAACACAACTTCTATACATTCCACGTGTCCGAAAGCACAGTGTTCTAACATATTGCTGTACACGTGCGGAAAACACACATACACACGTTAAAGCACACAAACTAATACAACCCCCAAGCTCACACGCCATTCCCACGACCACCAGCCGGTGACAACACCCCCCGGCCCCCCACCCCGCCACACACGCCCACATACACGTAATACACACACGGCTCACCCCCTCATCCCCCTACCTTCAGACATCAAGTCATCACTCAAAAAACCCCTCTATATCCGTTAACAGGTAGGGGGGTCCATGGCCGCGCTACAAGCCCACATCACCGCGGTTTCGGAGCACCCTGTGCTCCAGGGCGCGGACATCGATTTCAAGCTGGCTTCCTCGGGGGGCCCTCGCAACGAGGCCACTCGCGCCGAAACCAAAATGGACCGATTGGTCGTACGGCTGTGCGAGGTACGGGTCCTAGGGGAGGAAGTGGCTGCACTCCAGGGAGCCCCAAACCCAGCTCCGTGTGCACGACCGCGAACTCCACCTTGCTGACGTCCCCCCCGGCCCCCCGCCCGCCTCCACCTTTGCTCCACCGTAAACTGCCCGTCAGGAGCTGGTGACGTTGGGTCCCCTCGCCCGGCACCGTGCTGACCCACGGGTCAGTACCGCCCCCCACCTGACACCCGACCAATTCCACAAGATGCTGCAACGAGCCACCACCACCACCTCGTCCGCCACCAGTACCGCAATGAGGACGGTGGCGGAGGCGACGGCGCCAGCAGCTGCAGCGGAGCAGCGGACGGCGGAGGCGGTGGCGGTGGCGGTGGCGGCCCGGCCGTCACCTGACAGACCGTCAGATTCAGAGTGTGAGCTGGCGGATGTGGCTGGGGGCTGTGGAACAGCAGCGGCGGTCTTCAGGGACTCCACTGCGGGCGGGGAGGATGAGCAGGCGAAAGGAGGCTTTGCCGCCGTCGCCGCAGCTACCGCCGTTGATAATACTGCTGCCAGCGGTGGCGGCGGCGGTGGCGGCGATGTTGCTATTGAGAATGGTGGTGATGGTGGTGGTGGTGGCTCTGCGGGTGGTGCCGGTTGTGGCGGTGTATCAGGAGGCGGGTTTGGTCCGAATGATGGCTCGGGGCCCCTTGTGCTGCTGGACGCGCGCAACATCTACGAAACGCGGATCGGGCATTTCGATGCGGTATGTACGACTTTGCTTGGCTTCGTACAGCGTGTCGTGTAAGCGTGGATCTTAATGATTGGCATCCCTGTTGCTTCCCATTGTACGACCATATGGTTTCTGGCTTTCTGCGGCCACCCTCCCTTCCACCCCTGCAAAACAAAGCAATACACGCACGCACACGCACACACGCACGCCACGCGCCTTTTGGTCCATCACCCCTTATCGTGTGGGGTGTTTTATGAACCGTGCATGAACTTAGGCGTCGCCCCTTCCCCTCCCCCCTCCCCCTTTCCCCCCACCACACACACGCACGAACGCACGGGCGTCCCCAGCCCCGAAGTCTTCAAACACGTGCAGCTCGCTTGCCCACACGCTGAGATCCCTCCCTCCCTTTCTCCCTCTATAAAATCACACCCCCCGCATCACCCCCCGCACACCCAAATTCTCACACACCCACAACCCTTCCCACCATATTCGTACCCCGTCCCTCAAACCCCCCTCCTTTTTCCTATCCCCCCCTCCCAGCCCAGCCAGATTCCCAACCCCTCCCCGGGGCCCCCCCAATTTCCCCCCCCCCCAAAACACACGCATAGGGCCCCTCAATATCCACATTGGACCCCCGCACCCGCTGCTTCAGCGACCTGCCCGCCTGGCTAGATGCGCACGAGGACCTGCTCCGGAACCGAACCGTGCTCATGTACTGCACGGGGGGGGTGCGGTGCGAGAGGGCATCCGCCTACCTGCGGGAGAAGGGGCCCGAGTTCAGCCGTGTCTTTCAATTGAGCGGTGTGTGTATGTGTGTGTATGTATGTGTGAGGGAGGGGGTGAAAGGGGTGTTATGTTACATATCGATCGGGGCCTGACACCGGCCAGGGGCACCTAACCCGGTGTACCCCCACGGAAATGAGCGACCGCCGAAGCACTCTCCTCCTTGTGTGTGTGGGGGGGGGAAGAGGGGCGGTGTAAAAGGGGTGATGGCGGTGGTGGGTTTGGGATTTAGGGTAGGGCTCCCCTCGCTTCACATTAGGGTGGGGGGTCGGTGGGGTGGGTACGGAGGGCTGGAGGGAGAGCTGGATGCTTGGAGGGCGAGGTGGGTGTACGGGAGGGCCAGCAAGTAACGGGTGTTTTCCCCCCTTTTCCCCGCCCCCACCCTCGCCCTCTCTTCCCCCCCCCAGGTGGTATTCAGAGGTACTTGGAGCGATTTCCAGACGGCGGTTTCTTCCGGGGCAAAAACTTCTTGTGAGGGCGGGGGGGAAAAGAGGGGAAGAGGGATTGGGGGAGTGTGTGTGTGTGTTGTGCTGTGCAGATACACACACATACACACACATGTACACACACTCTCTGGCAACATCACTCATTGCGACCCACTTCCTTTAATTGCACACACACGTACAGACATACGCACATACACACATACACACATACACGCACAGATTGGGGCTTAACCCAACCCCTGCTAAAACCCCAGGTACGATGACCGTATCGCGGTGGGCCCCCAGCCGGCGGCGGAGGAGGAGGAGGCGGAGGAACACCCCGCAGCCACCTGCACCTCCTCGGGTGTGGTTGGGGTGGTTGGTCGTTGCCAACTGTGTGGATGTGCCTGGGACGATTACGGAGCCCGACTGAGATGCAGGTATGAGAAGCTGTTGTTGGTTGGTTGGTTGGTTGGTTGGTTAGTGTGTGCGTGCGTGTGTGGGCCCACGCGCTGCCCATATTTGCCTCCGGAGCCCCCCGAAAACCGGCAGCCACGCTCTCCTTTTTACCCTCCCTCTTTCCTCTAGGTTCGCACATACATACATATGTACACACTCTAAGTACACACGCACCGAGTTGGAACTCATCTCCCTCCCTTTCCCTCCCTTCCTCTCTCCCTGCCGCCGCCGCCGCCCCCATCATCATCAGTCGCTGTCGATTGCTGGTCCTGGTCTGCGATGAATGCACCGCCGCACACAGCGACCAAGACCACCCGCGCCGCCACCGCCAGCAGCAGCAGCAGAAGGACCGCCGCAGTGCTTCTCCCCCTCCATCACCACAACCACAACCAGCACCACCAGCCAGTCGCGACGGAATGACCCGCGGGTCGGTCCATCCCCTCCTGTGTGAGCTGTGCACCACTGCCACTGCCACTGCGGCAGGAGGTGGCGGCTCCGGCAGCGGCCTCATGGACGCGCAGGTGGCCGCTGTTGACGGGATGCAGGGGGGCGGATCCGTCGGTGATATCCGGGGCCCGGCGGGGACGGCAGTAGCAGCGGCTGACTCCGCCGCTCCATCTCCGTCTGTTCCTGTGGAGCCCGCCGCCGCCGCCGCCGTAAGTGCTGACGGATCGATATCGCCTTTTGCGCCCTCGTCACCGGGGGGAGAGACAAGAGCGCTCGGGAGCGCAGCAGCAGCAGCAGCAACTGCAACTGGTGCTACTGCCATTGCAGCAACTGCAGCAACTACAGCCGCAATGGCAGATGCGGCTGGCGGTGTGGGCACGGCCGCGCCTGCAGCGTCGCCCGCCGCCGCTGCCGCCGCTGGCGGTGGCTGCTGTGGCGGCAGTAGCAGCAGCAGTAGCGGTAGCGGTAGCGGTCCTCGGCGGCTACGTATCCTGTGTCTTCATGGGTTTCGACAGACCGGCAAGCAGTTCCAAGGCCGTACCTGCGCGCTGCGGAAGAAGCTCCGAGACCTGGCGGACTTTGTGTTTGTAGACGCGCCGCACACGCTGCCGTTCTTCGTCAAGCCGGGGGCAAATGTCGTCGCTGGCGGCGGCGGCGGCGGTGTTGATGACGCCAATAGCACGTATCATGGCGGCCCAGATGAATTATTATTGGATACCGGCTGCGGTATCAAAGGCAACGGCAGTAGCAGCTGCGGTAACGTCGAAGCGCTCATGCGAGACGACGACGGCGAGCTGGAGGAAGAGGTGGCTGTGAATGGTCGTGCCGTACAGCTATCACAAGCTTTTACAAGGTCGTCAGAGGGAGCGGTAGGGGCTGCGCCGCCGCCGCCGCCGCCACCGCCGCCCGCTGCCAAGCGCGCCTGGTTGTTACCGCCAGAGCAGTACGGCGGCGGTGCAGCGACCGGAAATGGTAAAGCTCCGCCGCTGCCGCCACCGCCGCCATCGACGTCACCACCATCAGGCGACGGCTGGCAGGAAGCCCCGGCGTATGTGGACGAGCTGCAGTACACACGGCAGACGGAGGGTTGGGAAGAGTCGCTGGCTGCCGTACAGGCCGCTGTACGACATCTGGGTCCTTTTGATGGTGTGTTTGGCTTCTCGCAGGTGCGCAACTCGGCTGTTTGTGGAGGATGTGAGGCATATGGACGAGGGGGAGGAGGAGTACCGCAACACTACCTCTTGTTTGTTATGTCTGTATGTATGTGGGCCCTACCCCACTCCACTCTCACACGCACACACACACACACTTACATACACATGCACAACGCCCACCTCGCCACCCGCCAGGGCGCGTCTGTGGCGGCTGTCCTCTGCGCGCTGCAGCAGCTTCAGCAGCGACGTCGTCAGAAGCGGCCATGTCAGGAACACAACCATCCGGAGCGGCCGTCCCCTCAACAGCAGCACCACAACCACCACCACCACCACCACGGTAACGTCACCGATGCGGGCGCGGGGCCCGATGGTTGCGATTTCGGCTTCCGGTTCGCCATCCTCGCCTCCGGCTTTCCTTCGCCGTTGCCGCTGCACCGTGAGCTGATGGCGGCGGCGGGTCCACTGGAGCTGCCGTCGCTGCATGTGTACGGCAGCGCCGGTGCCAGCGGCGCCTGCGGCGGCGCTGACCGTCAGATCTCCCCCCGGGAGAGCGAGTCTCTGTCGGCGATGTTCAGCTGCGCGGGCGGTCGGCGGCGCTGTCTGTGCCACCAGTCCGGCCACCTCATCCCCGCCACCAAGGGCCACGCCGCTACCTTCCGGACGTTCCTGGCGGCGCAGCTCCTTTCTGTTTCCCCCGCCCCTGCACCCGCCCCTGCACCGGCCCTGCCGCCGTAGCTAAAGTACGGGGGGAGAGGGGAGGGGGTTGGAAACACATGCCCTAAAACCCTAAGGACATATATCAGGAATTAAACGCCACCGTCCAAAGTTTGAATATGCTGGAGTCCATCCAAAGCGATGAAGTCACTGACCCACGGTTCCGGAAGTAAAACGTTACCGACATTTTTATATGGTGTAGCCGTCGTCATCAGGTCTCGTGATATTGTCCTTGAGGCCCTTGAGGCCCAGCGTAGTATAGATGACCTATAGCTGCTGAACGGATATCCTAGTAGTAGTAGTAGATCTCGAGGTAAAAATAGGTAAACTGGTCAGTTCTGGCTGACTTCGTCACTAACTCAAACACTGGCTGCGACTTGTGCCCGTTGCCTCAACTTTGGAAGCAGCTTAGGGGAGGGGGGGAGGGGGGGGTGAGGAATCCAGGGGAGTGCAGTCATACAAGGAGGGTAAGCGGTAGGCGGTGTGGGGGTAGTGGGGTGCGGGTAATGCGGGTAGCCCAACGTTTGTGTTTTTTTACTAATGACGGCGGTTAGTCGGATGGGCCGTGACTGTAGTAGGTTGGTCGGTTGGTGGGTAGGTCGGTAGGTACAGAGGGGAATGTGTTTTGCGACCTGTGAGCCAGTGACACGTTCTTGGCGTCGGGGGGCGTCAAGTAGTCCTTCCACAATGTGATTCCAAGTGTGGCGAGGCATTGACATACGTCTCCTTAGATATTATACCGTCGTGTATATCAAACTTGTGTATGCGTGTGTGGCGTGCGTGCGTGCGTCTGCTCGTCAGTTCGTCTGTCTGTGTGTGTCGTAATGGCCTAATGTCTTATTCAGATATTCTCTTCGCTGTCGTGCATGTACGCCTCTTTCTGTCACCTTGTAACTTTAAAGGTGACCAGCCGGTATGTTGTGGCATTAAACATCAAACGACGCGGAACCGAGATCTGGGGAACGATTCGCCGCCGGTGCGCTTTCATAGCGCTGCAGTTGCAGTACAGAATGCAGGCGGAATTGCAGCAAATGCAGTCCGTAGTAGTAGGAGGGAAATACTCTGCGCAGCCAACACCGGTGCAGCTATGATACTTAAGTCCGCAACTGACCAGAAATCAGTTTACACGGCCTTCAAACAATTCACCATTGGCGTCAACAACAACCCCTTGTTGGCCCTTGTTGGCTGTTTCTTAAACCCAGCGGCCAGCACTAACGTCCAGGTGAGGTCCGCGTTTATGAGATTGCAAAGAAACACGGTATATACATTGTGGTGGCAGCCAAGCTTTGACACGGCGGGTGCACGTCACGTGGAGTACAGGCCAGAAATCCTCGGGGGTTGCACGGGGCCAGAGTTGAGATGTGGTGACATGAGAACATGCAGCCTTGCAGTGGCTGGCGCGCTGGCCCTGGAGTACATGCTGACTTTGACGTTTGAGAAGCGGGAAGGCCATGCCTGGGCCGTTTGCAAGCAGATGGAATAAATAAGTGCCCGGCTAGTCCCTGGTGGGCTGGCCCGGGTTGTAATTACGGCCTATCTGCCTCACAGGCTGTACGGGGGACGGATGGCTCAGGGAGTATAGAAATAAGTTTGAGCGCAGCCTCCAACACTCCATGGAATGGCTCCAGGGAACCTCCGGAATCTCCACCATCTGCGTGGTGGCGGCGGAGCCCGTCCGCGTTAGCGTGTGTTCTTGCCTGGGTCTTTGCAAAAGTCGACAAATGAATGAGATAGATTTGCCTTCTTGTCCGCCCCTGTCATACGGGCCGTACAGTGCCGACCTTTCTTAAATGTAGCGCACACTGGAGGCTTGGCAGGGTGGGGAACCGCTGCCCTGCAGGCTTTGCCCGGCATTGCTGGGGTTCTGTCCTCATCGCCTGGGGTCCTGTCCCCAATCCAAGGTCCTTAGTTTCCGTCATGCATCGTAATTACATATTGCCATGGGGTATATCGTTAACGCCCACACGCGGTGCGCAAGGGCAACTGCTTCCGGCGCGTTGATCCGTACGATCTGCGTAATACCAGGTTTACCCAATCCTGTAAGATGCATGTTCGCGATGAAATGAGACACGTATCCCTGCTGATTATGTTTGGTTGAAATAGTGAAGGAATACCGTATTCCCTCCGTAACGGAAGCTTGCATCTACAGAGGCACACGTTGGATACCTTAACGTGTAATGCTTTTTAATTGCTGTAATGCCAACTCCAGCTGCTTTAGCAGCTAAATTTCATTTGTCCAAGTTGCCCCGCATAGGACTGTGTACGGCTTTTGGGCTCGCCTGCTTTCTTTCCCAGGATGAGTTTGTAGGTAAACAATGGGAAGTAGACAAATCCCTTGTCATCGACATTGTTTAAGGGCTAACTGTTTCAGAAAGGCGACGTGAAGAGGACGGATAGAAGAATGCCTGCGACTAGTGACCGTTTGCAGTGACCCAGATCCGCTGAAGCCCGCGGGCAGCCTCAACATGTCTGGAGTTAAGTCTCGTCATCGTGATAATGGAAACGCGGGCTTTTTCTCGCGAATATGGACCTCCGACATTTTGGACTGTGTTGTTGCTTTCCTTCCGCCAAACGTTGTTGCGTGTACCATCCGCCTTGTGAACAAGCTTGCTGCGGAGCAATTTAAGCGGTACTCCACCACGCGGCTGTCGCAGCTTGTACCTTGCCACGCCTTCCGACGCCGTTGGGCCGATCCCTCTTCATTACGCACCATGACTTACGAGGAACGGATGCGCTTCCTGTGCCTGGTAGCGTCCAGCGGGAGTATTTACAACCTAAAAGTGGCAATGCAGAGCACTGGTCTCCAACTGCATTCGCGAATACTTTGCGCCGCTGCCAAAGCGGGGCGCATCGACCTATGCGCCTGGCTTGTCGACGAGGGCTGCCCAAGCGACGCGATGGGTTTAGGTGACGCCGTGGGATATTCTCAAAGCAAGGATTTGTTTCATTTTATTTTCAGCGACGGCATCTTCTTCGACATTCACGTTATTGCTGACGACGATGAGTCCTACGGAAACAACGCGGACGGCTTCGTCGCGGCGATTTGGGCCGCCCTCTGTGCCGCAGCCCGCAATGGACATGATGACTTCTTTCGGTGGCTTCTGCAGCAGCTGCCGCAAATCCCTCGGCTGTCTGCTCACAGCGACAGCTTCGGTATATTTGAACCCGCCGACCTGTTTGAAGCCGTGGCGGAGGGCTGCAAACTGTCTACTCTGAAGTGGTTAAGCCGGCGGAAGAGACTGCCGCCGCTCTGGATGGGTCCCAACGGGTGCCTCATCCCTGAGGATGTCCTGCACCTGCTCACTGCTGCGGCGTGCAGTCCCATGCAAGATTGGAAAGAGAGGATAGAGTGGCTAGAGGGCTGGCTGCTGCAAATGTTGCCTCCGCCTCAGCAACAGCAGTTGCAAGGGCTGCAACAGCAGCAACAACAACATCCGCAAGAGCAGCAAGAGGAGGGGCAGCAGCAGCAACAGCAACAAGAAGAACAGCAACAGCCATCGCAAGAGGGCGTTGCATTGGGTGCCGTCGTCGCGGCGGAACTGGCTATTCAGGCCTTCGAGCCATTCAACATGCTCACGGCTGCTGCGTCGCGTTCCGAAGACGGTGCGGAACGGCTAGGCTGGTTGATACGACGCGGCTACCTTAACCATGGCACCAACATCGAATCGCCTCTCATTCAGGCCTGCAGCACGGGCTGTCTAACGGCCGTACGAATGCTGCTGGAGCTAGGCCCCACCTCCGTGGTAGCGGCAGCACTGGAGGCCGCCAACGCGGGGCACTTGCACGTGCTACAGGCCCTCCACGCCTTCAGACACTTAGCACAGGATGCAGCCGAGGATGGAGAGCCGGAAAAGTGGCTCTTACATGAAGCTTTGGTAGGGGGGCACTTGCAGGTAGTGGCGTGGCTTGTGGAGGTCCTAGGGGTCGACGTTCGTAATGACGCGGATTTGGATTTAATGTTGGCGGCTGCCAAGTCGGGCAGCTTGGATATGGTCGTGTGGCTTCACGAGCGTGGCTGCCCCTGGCATGTCGACGGCTTCATGAACGCGGTCAAGGTGGGCAATACGGCAGTGCTGGAGTACATGGCAGAGAATGGCTGCCCCGTGCCGCAGGTATGCGGAGTTAAAAGAGGGAGGAGAGGAGGTTGGGGCGGGTAAGTGGGTCGCGGCTGGTTTCAGAACGTGCATGTGTGCATGCATGCACTTTATGCCCAAAGCCCTGCATGTGCTGTGCGGGAGGAAACGTACCCAAACGTTCATTTAATAATCGGGCACCGTACCGTGTTATCATTACAACTTCGCCCTGCTGCGCTAGGAGCCGCGGCGGCGGCAGTAGCAGCCAGGTTGGATTGGTGGGTGGTACCTAGAAGGGATGCTCTGGTGGGTACCTCTATCCGCCAACCCACACATAATAAAATTCCCAACTGCCCTCCCCGACCGACCGACACGGCCACGTGCCTCTACTTGGGCGCTGTTCCGGTGGCCCAAACCCACAAAGGCCTTCCGTATCAGGACTTTATGCTGCTGCTGCTGCTGCTGTTGCTAGAGACGAGCTTTGCCAAATAGCTCTAATAAAAACAGTGACCCTCTTACCTATTTGAAACGTCTGACATCATTTTTTTTATCATCCGGCTATGCTTCGCAGTGCGGCACCCCCTACGTGCACGCGGTTCGAGTCAACGATTTGAGCGTCATGCGCTGCCTGCGGCGGCTTGGAGTTCAATGGCATCCTCGAGGCCGTACCTTCACGGCGTGCGTCAAGGTGGTGGGTACAGATCTCCATCGCGTACGGCTTCTGGAATGGATGGTGGCGCGGGGCTGCCCTGTCAATTGGACGGTCGCCCTCCACGCCGCGCGCATGGCGACCAGACGTGATGGTCCATTCTCTCGGGCCGCACTATGCCGGCTCGAATATTTGCGGGAGCAGTGGAAGGAGAAGAAGCAGCTCAATCGTCAGCTTAGGCAGAAGAAGAAGAAGAAGCGATAGCAGCAGCCGCAGCGGCAACAAAATGATGAGGCCCAAAAGTAGGAGCAAGCACCAACGTCAGCTCCTTCCGCTCTGTGCGACGCGGAGAGATGCCAACGTTGCGGCCGAACATCCTGGAGGGGCAACACACGTTGGTGCAGGATAGGCGACCGAGGGTGATCCTCAGATGCCTCACACACCGCACATACATACATACATACGCACACGCCAGGCACACATATGTTAGCTTGCGGCGGCTACAGCACACGGGTCGTTGCGTGTTGATACAACAGTGCTACCATTGCGCATTGTTCATCATTATTATGATGTAATGGGTTGGGTCACATGACACTAGTTATGGTCATGAAGTTGGCACTGCTGGTAGAGCAGCGGGTTGACAGATCATCCAGGTGGCTGCATGGGTATTTTGGCGGTACAGTCAGTCATGTGGCCCGAAGAGTCGCGACCTGCTGAGGAAGTGGATCTGCGCAATGTATGATTAATCAGAGGGTCGTGTCAACAATGTTTGCAGGCCTTGGAGAAAAGGTTCTTTGCGGGTTGTTCAGTTGTGGGCCTCTAAGTTGAGTTATTGCAAACCTCGAGTTGATGTACTGTAGAGCGTTTCTCAAATTCGTTTCTGTGCAAATTTGGAAAATGCGACCATGCGCCATATTCCGTTGTGCAAGCTCTCGGCGTTATAACCATTACGCGGGCGATCACAATGCTGTACAGCATATTCCAGTAATGCTGTCACACGCCATCCGGATCCTTAGGTACTTGGGTGCTAATCGCTGGAATATCGACTTGTATAGCGATTGTAAACATGCACCGTACAAGGCGTTCGTACCGTTTGCTGCTGTTGCACTTCATGCCTATGGACTCTGGAGCAGAGGTTTGGTGGATAGACTGGCTCGATCGAATGTAGGCTCCGCACGCCGCCTCGTGAGTTTGTTACTGATAACTGCAAGCCTGGCGGAGAAATGCGCCGGTACAAGCACTAGATGTACTAGGACGCCGAAACACACGGGCCGGTTATATTCCCGCCAAAATCGGATGCTTTCCCTTTTGCGTTTCCGCTTGGGAGCTTGGCTGTTGTTAGGTAACAACAGGCCGGGTGGTCGGCGAAGGGATGAACGCAATTGTAGGGTCTGTATCAACGGAGTAGAGGATGAATTTTACGTGCTTATGGAATGTACGGCGTACGGTGAGGTCCGTCAGGGTTTCGCTTCGATAGGTGTTAATGTGGGTGACCAGCTTCCCGTGCCTATGCTCCTTGTTATGAGTGTTGACGACCGGCGCGGGTTGGCAGAATAAGTTCACAACATTTGGGTTCGGCGCACATCTATGCAACATCGATTTTTTGATCTGAACTTGCTTGTTCTTGTACTTGGTCCCTTTTCTTCTTGTTCTCTCTTTTCTGTCTTTCTCCCTTGTTTTCGCGGTCCATGAGCCTCCTGGTTCGTCTGGGCCTCAAGAGCTCTTACGAGCTTGTAACATCATCATCATTTTACCTAAGATAGCGCTCGAGTGTTTTGAAATGAAAATTAGATCCATTCTGTCGTACGGAGTCCAGGTGTGCGGACCGAGGTTCATTCTCCAGGTCGTTGAGCGGCCACCCGACGCGCATGGGCGATCCTGCTACTTCGAAAAGGCGCTGGAGGTCCGCGTGCTCCCAGGTAGCTACAACGCACGTTTCTGTGACGCGTCTCACCGGGTTGGGGAAGATACCTGTGTGACACCTGTGTGTTGTTTAGCTGGTGGTCAATGGCCCCTCCACCTTCACCGGGCCTCACTTGTTTTCCTTTTCGAACTCAAGGTCATTTGGCGAGGGGGACTGTGTTTCACGATGTTCTGCGTGAAGAGGTCGTCTTAGGGTTTTGTACTGCTACCAACTGGGGTCTCTAGATCCTTAGGGCTCTCAGGTGCTTAGGGCACTTCCCGGCGCTGCACCCGGACTTCAATTTCATTGCGTCGAACCCTATCCGTCAATCCTGGATATGTCATGGGGATCTCGAGGGGGCGATATAATGCTGACTGGCAGAAGCCACGTCTTATTACTACACCCCCAGGAATTTGTGTCGGACGGACAGCCGTAAACCAGGGGTTGAGATGTGCTGCGGCGTACCCATTGGATGGGAATGCCGAAACACACGACGTGCTACATCCCTGCGAAGTCATACTTGTCACTGCTGCGGTTTCGCTTAGGGGCGTGGTCTCTGGGACCCGGCGGTCGGTCGCGTCAAGGACGCCGGTGCGGGGTTTGTGGTTGCAAACAATAATACAGTAGAAGATGAGTTTCACATGTTGCTAGAGTGTCGCGCCTACAGGGACCTACGGGAGGGGCTCCTCAACCTATAGGTGTACGCTAGGCGGATATCGAGTCCGTGCTAATATGAGGTCTGTCATGGACATTGGTGATCAGCGCGGACTTTACAGGTCGTTCATACCATCTGCATGCGGCGATGCACGTTGATAGCCGAGTAGAAAGGCCACGCCCGCCTAGTCTAGTTATTTATTTCTCTCGCAGACTGGCTTCATAACCCTTTTTCTTTTATCTTTTCGACTACGCTAGAACTCGCGGAGGTCCAGGAGCTCCCTTGCTCGTCTGGGCCTTACGAGCCCTCGCCAGCTCGTAACATGTACCCGGCCAGCGGACGCTTCCCTGTCCGCAGCACCGTACATCCAGACCAAGCGGCTATTTTATTGCATTGTGCTTGGTGCCTCATACCTGCAAGCAAAGGTTACGGGGGTGAGGCGGAGGTGGGGCGAGCACATGATGGCGGGGGATTTGAAGTCTACATTTAGTAGAGATGTAGGGCGCCATGGCGGATCACGTGGAGGAAAGTACGGCAGCCGCCGCGCAAGTTGAGATGGGCGGAAAAGAGGCGCGTTCAACATAGCGTCTATAGGCTGCCTCTAGCTGCCGTGTAGGCAGCAAGTCCTCACCTCGCCGAAGGGACAGCAGGACCATCTCCATTGACTGTCGTGTTCTGTCACGTATTTTTAAATACGTTAGAGCTACTAGCTTGATAGATTAAACTACAGTCGTTGGTCCCCTTCGTCTTCATTCCCTAAAGGGGAACTTAAGGGGATAAACCAAAGTCCTGCTGCAGCTGCTCCACCAGGTGGAGAAGGTCGTCCGCAGTGTACGGTTGGTGTCCGGGCTGAAGGGCAAGTCCTGGGTCCCGAGATTGATGATAGCTATCATCAATAGGCTGGCATAGCCCGCACCCCAAATCCCAAGGCTTCCTAACGCCCGATGAAAGCACTACCAGTCTAAACCTATTTTGAATTTTTCCTTCGCCCACGTGATTATTCACACAAACAGATTGAGCAGGTTGGTAGGTCGACGTGGTTACTAGTGACTGTATTGCTGGCCATCATGATGCCGCCGAACAGATTATGTCATACGATTGCGCAATGCATACCACACATATGCTATTTTGGTAATACCAAGCCCAACGGGGCTGACTTCTTCCATGCTGTCGTGCGTCGATATGCATGCTGTATGCTGCACATGCCAAGCAGATTAGATACAGGTAATGAGGACGCTGTTGTATTTTAAAAAATATATCTTAACCTTAAATCCCATTTTACGTTCAGGATCTGCTGATGCGGCTTGAAGTCCGTGCCTTGCACAGAACAGCCATCAAAACTAAATCGCCAACACAGAAAATCAAGGTTAATATGGTTCATCACTTCAGATTAAAGAGTTGTGCACATACTGGTTACAAGCGTGAGAATCCACGTTTCATTTCATACGGGACTGGGGGGGGTTCGGGGTGTCCGGGGGAGCTCCCACTGGTCACCTGATCAACGCTGGCGTGGCGTCTGGCAATTCGGTTTTACTACAGCTTACCGCACATAGTGGTACCCCACATACCTCATTAAGCGCCTCATCCGTCGCCAACTTTCAACAGCTACTTCATGCTGGATATTGTTGACACGACTCTCTGATTGATTTGTAAGTCTGATGGGCGCAAAACCTGCGAGGTACCGATGCTATGGAAAAGCTAATCCTCGACCCAACTTGTCAGGTTGTAGCCTGTTACGTAACTTATTAAATGCCGCCTTCTCCTACGCTCGTCTCCGTTCTTCAATGTGTTCGCCGTTTGTATCTATATGTTGCGTTGCGTAAGGGACCGGCATACTCATGAGGCCCTTAAATCATTCGAATCATATACTAATTATAGGGCTCTGCATCTTGCAACCCAATGCTAGCATGTGCCGGCGCCCGGACCATGGGGGTTGTCAAAACTACACAGCTAGATAGCAGCGTGGGAAATGCGAGCAATTATTCCCATTCTTCGCAATTCACATTTGGGCTAGTTTCGGCTAAATTTACATGCTCTTCAATGACGTTCACCTACGAATTTTTCTTCTGTAGTGTCGTGCAGCCCATCGGAGGGCGCCAAAGCTTGCCGATTGCCGCAATGTTTGGTTTCTTTACACACTGCTGGGTAATACTGTAATTCATTTACATGATGTCCTTTGACACGATCACCGCAACATCCTCCTACCCAGCGCCATTGCTTGCAGCTGCAAAGTAGCTGGTTACCCTTTGCCAGACATCCTTCATGTTGCGTTGATGCAAATCTATTGTATCACAGAAATGGATGATGTCGATTGACATAAGTTTGCACGCTGGACTGCGACAATGGCTGGGCCTCGCCATTTTGGGTTTACGCCGCGACCACGCCGAACTGACAAAACGAAATGGGCGCCGATCAACATCATATACGTCACCTTCCATACATTAGCTCTTCTGTTTTACCTGCACAGCTGGACACCGCAGTTGCACAGCATGGCAGACGCATCGACGGTGCCCCGCTACCAAGCGACAGCCGCTGTGAACACGAGGCATACATTCAACGAAGCACATGAGCATGGAAACGGCGCCTGGGACGACCTGAAGCACGACATAACACCGGTAGGTGGGTCGCGCGTGCACACCAGCCCCCACCCGTCACCGCAAGCGACCACACCAGCCCCCAAGCAGCCCCTCACGCCCCCAAAACCCCCACCCGGTTTTGGGCCAACCGCCATCATCGCACTGCGCCCCTCCCTGGCGCCGCCCCTCCCTTCCCCTGATCAACCTCCCCCGATCAATCAGTCAGCCAATCAGCGCTCAGCTACCTCCCCTCCACCCGTAGGGTTCCTCCTGTCAGCCCTTGACAGGTACATACTACCGGGCAGTTGTAAGCCAACCAACAGCACCCCGGGGTGTTTTCCTCGCCTCTTCTCGCGACGCCCCTCTGCCCACACCCCTCTGCCAACACCCAGCCCGCGCACTCGTGCACCCCCGTGCATGTCGCCCAAACCCAAACAGAGCCCCTAATCCTCCCCCGCCCACTGCCGCAGTCTCCACCTCCGCGTTCCCTGGAGCCCTTGACACGTGGCTCAGCCGGCGTCCGTTCGTCGTTGCTGTCGATGGGACAGACGTCGCCGCCGCCGCCCAACACCACCTTTGTGTCGTACGAGGCGGAGATTACACTTCCGGCGGCACTAGCAGCCGGAACCAGCCTGCCGGCAGTTCCTGGGGCGGTACTGCATTTGTCGTACAACTTCCTAACGGTCACGTTGCGCTTCCAGGTGGGTTGCAAGCCCTGCCCTGGACCCCGTGGTACGCCGTCCGCCGTACATGCATGCATGTCTGTCTGTCTGCCTGTCTGTCTGTCTGCTCCCCCTCCGACTCGACTCGTGGACATTTTCCCCGGTTTTCCCCACCTCCCCCATTGTGCTATTTCCTTCAAGCCTGCTCCAATGGACCCGATCGCTGACCGCACTTTCCCGTACTGTAGCTCAGCTCGCCGTACGGTACTTGTACGGCCCAGGGCGCTCATTCGACGCTGTCTGCTGTCGTCGCGGCGGCATTTGGCCTCCCGCCGTCCAACGTGACCACCACGAGCTGCAAGGTGGGAGGAGCTGCTACAGCCTCTACCGGAGCCTCTCCCCCTAGTGCTGGCAGCAGCAGTAGCAGCAGCCGCAATAGCAGCAGTAGTGCTGGCGGGGCCGGAGGAGATGGAGGAACTGATTGCAGTGCGGAGGTTGCCACCCAGGTGGTTCTCGTGTTGAAGGTGCGAGAGCTGATGCGTGTGTGTGTGTGTGGTGGTAGTTGGGGGGGAGAGAGAGAGAGTAAACGCGGTGGAGGGCGGGGTTGGGGGATGAGAGAGGGTGGTTGAGAAGAAAGTGGAAGCCGCTGTAAAGGCACGTGTGGTCGCTTTATACGATTTCACGATTACACGATTTCACGAATACATGCAATCCGCTTTCCTCGGAGCCGGCGGAAGACCTCGGAAAGGCCGCACCCCGGGGCAGGGGCAGCGCTTGACGTCCCACCACGCTATGCACACACACGAACACGCGACGCAGTTGGACCAAGCCATATCCCTGGAAAGCTTCGGCACGGCGGTCTTCCGTACGCTGTACGGCAGCGGCAGCGGCGGCGCTACCGGCGTGTTGACAGGCCTGTGTCCCGGGGAAACGGACACGTCCTTGGCGGTTCCTGGCGCCCTGGTGCGTGCGTGTGTCCGGGGGTTTGAGGCCTTTGGGTTTTAGAGGTTTTACCAACGGGTTTTGTTTTGACTTTGGGTTTTACACTTCACAGGGTTTACTGTGCTTATGTTTGGGTTCGAGCCCAGCGGGTCGAGGAAAAGAAACACTGTAGCAAATCACTCAAGGAATGAGGGCCGGGCAAGGGGCCTGTGGGTTCTGTGCCGTGTGTTATACGTGCTAGGGTTTTATATCAGCCTTTGCAATACGGTTGTCGAGGAAGGGGAACCGGAAGCAAAGGGATTAGAAACCGTTTACCGTCGTCGCCGCCGTCGCCGCCGCCGCCGCCGCACAGGTTCGTGGCGTGTCGACGGCAGACAGTAGCTTTACGGGCTGCCAGGCCTTTGTTGCCGTACTGCTGGCGGCGATGGAGCCCCTCACCGTCAGCGCCGCCTCCTCGACCGGGCCGTCGCTGTCGGTGGCGCTGACACAAGCCAGCTGCCGTGCCACGTTGTACGGCCGCACCGCGAGCTCGTTGCCGCCGCCACCGCCGTCGCCGTTGCCTCCAGCACTGCTGGCGGCGAGGCCGACGGCTGACGGTGGCGGCGCAGCTGCCGATATGATGCCAGACGGCGACGGCAGCGGCGGTGCTAGCAGTAGCGGCCGGGCCAGCGTCAGTAACGGCTACAGCAATAAATCGGTGGCGGCGATCGCGGCACCGGCCGCGGTCGGCGGCGTGGTGGTCCTGGTAGTTCTGGTCGTACTGCTGTTGTGCTGCTACCGCCGCCGCCGCCGGGAGCTCGTGACGGAGGTTGAGGCGGCGGGGACCGCTGTCGACGGAGGTAAGGACACTGTGGCGGAGGTACGGACGCCGCCGGCGGCAGCGGCAGCGGCGGAGCTGACCCCGCCAACCCCAAAGATCAGCGGCAGGTCGTGGCTTTGGCGGTCGCTGTTTGGCCGACGCAGCAGCGGCAGTAGCGGCGGCAGTTTCAGTGGGAGGGGAGGAAGTTGGCGGGGAACTCGCGTCGCGCCGAATGAGCTGAAAGGGCGGCCTTTGGAAGGTTCGGAGCTGTCCGGTGGCGGAGCAGCGGCGGCGGCGGTGGCGGCGGCGGCGGCGGCGGGTGGCTGCGGCGTCAGCAACCCCAAGTTGGCCTTTATAGTTGGAGACGGCGACAACGCCGGCAGCGGCGGCGGCGGCGGCGGCTTGGCGGTTGTGCCCTCCGTGCGGGCGCCGGCAGATACTGGTGAAGGGGATGACGGTGTCGTACCAACTCGCCGAGTTCGGAGCGTCGACTCGGATGCGCTGTTGTCGGCGTCAGCGGCGTCGCTGCCGTCGTCGCCGCCGCGGAGTTCGGCGGAGGACACGGCGCGGAGGACTGGGACAGGGATAGGGGTTCCGTCGAGCCAGTTGCCGCCGCTACCGCCGCCGCCGCCACCGGGGCAAGTGCCCCAAGAACCGATGCTGTTGGTGTTGCCTCCGACAACGACTAGTGCGGACAGCTGCGACGGCGCCAGACGCTGCGACGGCGGCCATATACGTGCTAACAACTACGGCGGCGGCGGCATTGCCAGCGGCGGCGGTAGTGGTGACGACGCCGGGAACGGGGGATTATTCAGTACTGTGATGGAGTCCGGCGGGTCGGGACCTGGCCTTCCGTCAGTACGGAAGCCGGTGGGTGCAACGTTGCTACCGTCGCTGTCGTCTGTATCGTCATGGGCTTCGGAAGCAGTAGCGGCACTAGCAGCAGCGGAGCCGTCGGCAGCCGCAGGACTGCTGGCGGAGGAGCCGTCGATGGCATCGATGCCGTCGCCGTCAACGGCGGTTACGGCGGCGGCGGCGGTAGTCAAGGAGCCAGCTGCCCTCGAAACGGAGATGGAGAGGGTGTCGGAAGCATCCGCGGCGACAACGGCGGCGGCGGCGGTAAAGGAGACGGCCGCGGTGGCTGAGACCGAGCCGTCAACGCCGTTGCCGGCGGCGGCGGCGATCAAGGCGCCAGCGGCCATCGAGGCGGAGCTGCAGAGGGCGTCGGCGGCGACGGCAGCGGCGCCGTTGGCAGATGCGTCTTCGCTGACGGCGCCGGCGGAGCCGATGATGCTAGTGGCGGCGGCGCCCGCCGCCAGTGCGTCGCCATCGATGCTAGGAGCTGATGTGGGGGCAGGAGGCCCGGCGGCGGCGGCGGCAGGATTGGATAGCCCATCAGGGCCGCCGCTAGCGCCAGCCTCCCCGGCGGTGACGTCATCACACATGACTCTTGTATCTGGCGCTGGGCCCCGGCTTCCCCTCCTTCCGCCCATTGGGGGCAACCTGGAGCATTTGCCGCAGCTTGGCCCTGCTCTGGCGCCGCGCTCCCTGCCCGTACGAAATGTACTGCCGATTGTTATACCCCATCATCCGTACAGCTCCCATAACCATGACAGCTCCGCCGCCTCTGTCTCTAGCCCCACCGCCGTCGCCGCCGCTGCCGCCGCTTCGGAAGCGGGTGGCGATGGCGGCAGCGGCGGCAAAGACATCCTTTCCGGGCGGTTACCGTCGCCGGCGGTCCGGCGGTCGCTGCTGCCTTCTTTGGCAACTACAGTGCCGCTAGCGGCCGGTTCACTGGATGTTGCCAAAGCAGGCAGCCCCTTTGCCGGGCCGCTATCGTTGGGGCAGCAGCGCACTGGCTGCGCCGATGCTCGCGGCAGGGAGGGCGGCGGCGGCGTGGCCGCGCCCTTGACGGAGCCGCCGCCGCCGACCGCCAACGGTACGGCAGATTCTGCCGGCGATACCGCCGTCGCTATGAGAAACACGGCGGTGATCACACTAGCTTCGAGTTCGTGTTCGAGTTTTTCTCCGCTCGCCGCGGTTCCATTCTCCCCCTCGGGGGGAGCCTTTGGAGAATCTCCGCGCCCGGTTGAGGAAAGACGAAGGGAGAAGGGTGTAAGCTCACCGGGCAGCGGAGGCAGTGGAAAGGGATCGACGGCAGCGGAGGCCGCGGCGGCTGTGGAGGCGGCAGCGGCGGCGGTTGCGGCGGCTGCTGTGGCTGCCGCCTCGGCGGCGTCATCGTCGGCGGCGGCCGCGGCAGCAGCAGTAGGCGGAGACGGCTGGAGCGATCCCATTTTTGCGCGGCCCGATGGCCCTGACGCAGGTGGTAGCCTAAGAGGCGGCGACGGCGCCGCAGCCAGCGGCGGCGGCGACGCCCCTGCCGACGGCAATAATTCGGCTGTACGGCAGTTGCTCAGACCGGGCGATGGCGGGGCTTCGGGCGACATAGGCGATGGCGGCGATGGCGGCGCGGCAGCCAGCGGCGGCGGCGACGCCCCTGCCGACGGCAATAATTCGGCTGTACGGCAGTTGCTCAGACCGGGCGATGGCGGGGCTTCGGGCGACATAGGCGATGGCGGCGATCGCGGCGCGGCAGCCAGCGGCGGCGGCGACACCCCTGCCGGCGGCAATAATTCGGCTGTACGGCAGTTGCTCAGACCGGGCGATGGCGGGGCTTCGGGCGACATAGGCGATGGCGGCGATGGCGGCGCGGCAGCCAGCGGCGGCGGCGACGCCCCTGCCGACGGCAGTAGTTCGGCTGTACGGCAGTTGCTCAGACCGGGCGATGGCGGGGCTTCGGGCGACATAGGCGATGGCGGCGATCGCGGCGCGGCAGCCAGCGGCGGCGGCGACGCCCCTGCCTGCGGCAGTAATTCGGCTGTACGGCAGTTGCTCAGACCTGGCGATGGCGGGGCTTCGGGCGACGGAGGTGATGACGGCGCCACAGCCAGTGGCGGCGGCGACGCCCCTGCCTGCGGCGGTAATTCGGCTATACGGCAGTTCCACAGGCCCGGCGTTGGCGGCTTATCATCAAGCGATCTGCAGGGGGACGATGACGTGGCGGCGGCGGCAACAGGCGCCGGTGCCAGAACTGCTGACTGGAATCCGCTGTTGGCGGCTCGTAACTTCAAACGGTGAGTACGAACATTACCAGCACCATCTCCCGGATCAGGTGGAGGAAGGTTCTAGAGGGCCTCGACCCGAGGCATGTCTGGAGATGGTGGCGGCGGCGGCGGCGGCGGCGGGGGCGGATCCGATAGCCTGATTAATGGTTTCCTCCATACACATATGCAGACAGAGACACACACACACACACACACACACTGAACGACGCGGGACCCGCCGCACGTATCACAACAGAGCGGCTGGACAGAAACACCAAGACATGCAGCATACCGAGCTGCGGCGTGTCCACCGTGATCTCCCTCACCTCGCCGCCCGGGCCCTCCTCCCTTCCCCCCTCCCCCCTCCCCCCTCCCCCCTCCCCCCTCCTCCCCCCTCCCCCCCCTCCCCCCACACACTCATACACGCAGACCTGACGGCGATGGCGACGGCGGGGAGGAGCTGGGAGGGGATTCGGACTCCAGAGCGAAACCGCCGCCCGCCAAAGACCTGGCAGCGCCGTCACCACCTCCCGGTGCTGCAGCCCGTGCGATGAAGTATGGGGCCGGAATTGCCCCGGTAGGTGGGCGGGGCTTTGGGCGCCAGCCCCTGTTTTCCCCCCTCCTGGTGTGGGACACGTTGGGTCAACCAAACCTTTTTTTGAGCGGGGGCCCCTCACTACTACCCCCTCTCGCGACTGGTCAGTTCTGCTTCCCATACATCTGCCACTCGTGGTTCGTCTTCATAAGTGTCAATATAATATCATTACATGTTATTACAATATATATATACATACATACTTATATATACATATATATACATATATATGTATATATTCTGTAGGGGGAAGCTTATCTGTTGAGGTTTGGTTGTTTGTCATGCATGTGCCGTACGTGTTCGATACCTCCTTGTGTACGACACGGCATCTCGGTTCTCCCGGGGGGCCTTATTGATCTGCAGGAGGCTGCTCTTGCTGAGTCATCGGTTTCGGTGGCGGAATCTGAGTTGCCGTCATCATCACCGTTACCTGCCGCCTCGCCAGCAGCCACACCGCCGGTAAGTGCCTCTGCCGGGGATTAACTTTCCCCACATACATACATACAGACAGACAGACAGACAGACAGACATACGAGACCGGTCATGGTCGAAAATTCTTCCGATGGTGGAAGGTGATAGTGCCCCTAGTCGATGGACGGTGGTGACCTGGGATAAAGTTGACTTGCGAGCCGACCAGGAATGGAGTTGGGCCGCTGTCGACCCGGCAGATTCCGTTGGATGCTGGTGGTGGGTGCAGGACCTGAGCGATCCACTGAGAAGTTGACTAGGGAGACTGGATGAGGGTGCCCCGAAATACCGGGGAAGGCAGGGTTTGGCCGGGTAGCGGCCACGGGTGAAGATATGCCCCCCTGTCCCACACATCATACATACATACATACATACATACATACATACATACATACATACATACATACATACATACATACATACATACATACGTTGCCATCACTGAACGTTGCCCGTGAGCCCTTTACGCAGGCCGCCGCCGCCGCCGCCGCTGGCCGGCAGTTCAAGTTTGGTGGGATGGCGGACGGCAAAGATCCAGACGATGTCGACGGTGGCTTGGATTCGGGTTCCAACGACGAGGAGGAGCTGAACGGCATGGCGGATGGCGCCGGCGGTGTCGAGGGGCAAAAGGTGCGTGTGCTGTACGCAGCCGGCAATCCGTACATCCCATCACGTGCTTGGACGAGCAGCGCCGCGGCCCGCGACAGCACTGCAGCCTCTAAGGACCTTCGCGACCCTTTCTTCGGCCTGTTTACAAAACATATCCAACGGCCGTTTAGAAAAGAAAAGATATCGCTTCCAACATTTAAACTTTTGGAAATGCAACAACTCAAATATGCAGCAAAGTATAGCAAACAACAAAACACAATCATTCATGCACTGCCCGGCCATGTGCGGCATGCTTTGCCCAGTGGTACAGACCCGGGACCGGTCCAAAAGCAGCCCCACCCAAAAATCATCCTCCCCCTCCCCTTCCCGGCCGCTGGGTGGCCGCAGGAGCAGCGCACCCGCCTCCGCGCTCTTCGCCCCGCCGCAGCCCGCCACGGCGGCGGCTCTCTGGCTCCGGACGAGGCCCTGGGGTCTGTGGACCTGATGCAGTTGCAGCTGGAGAGGCGGCGGAAGGCCCAACTCGAGCAGATGCGCAACAAGGCCGCGTGGGGGGTTGCCGCCGGCGGGGGCGGGGAGGAGCAGCTGGATCATAAAGAACAAGAGCGAGGGGATGGACTGAGCAGCGTGCAGCCTGTGGCGGAGCCGCTGTAGAAGGCACCGTTGTCGTACGTCGTGCGCTGCTACGGCATCTCCAGCAGCAGCAGCAGCAGCGGCAACAGTGCGTGCACGGGACTGTTTGTTGGGTGTTGTGACCGTCCGCTATGTATGTATGTATGTATGTATGTGCCCACTAGGGAAGGGAAGTTGGTGGCAGGGCGCAACGGTTAAGCGGGTAAGCGCAGCAGCAGCAGTATCTGCAGTGAGGGGGTTGTAGCAGTCGTACAGGCCTGTGGCAGTAGCTGTACAGCTACGTACAGATTGTTGTCGTATCGGATATTTGACTAGTGGCTGATATTGTTTGTGACGTTGGCAGGGATGGTGGCGAGACATAGAGCTGCTGTGACAGCAGCCGCGGCGACGGCATTACTTTGTGCGTTGCGGAAGTACGACAGGTCAATGTATCGGGTTTCGGAGCGACAGGCCTAGCGGCGGCAGCATTTATTGGCCGTCCAGGGCCCGTAGTCCACCTCCACCTCATAATAATTTTGCCAGGGTGGCATGCCGGTGTTCGTTTGGGGTCCTCGGTCTGGATGGTGGTGATGTGGTCTCCTCCCCGGTGGGGTGGGGAGGGGGGGCCCCGGGGCCTATCATTACTGTGGATGGGCCTGGGAGCAGCCACGATATTGATGTCCCTTTCGGCTCTTTCCTCCCCGGGAGGGTGAGATGACTGGGGCGGAAGTTTGTGAACGCCGTACTGGGGCCGGGAGTACTGCAGGCGCGCAGGCGCAGCAGGCGCGACACTTGTGACAGGAGTGGGGGCTGCACCCCCCGGAGCCGATCGGAGTGGAAAAAGAGCAAATGCGCTGTTACTGGCTGTGTGTGTACGTATGTATGTCGCTTAATAAAATGATATTATTTATAAAACAAAATTGATATTTCTAAATATTTCTTAATGAATTCTTAATGAATTCTTACTTTTTTTGTTTTGGCACTGCTGTCTTGATGCTTTATATTTTTTTTAAATGCGCCAAAAGGATGGTTTATTTTCTTCTCGGATGGCTTGGGCCCCGACTATTGTGTACCCGTCTTGCCGTATTCCGGTACGTAATACATGTACGACATATGATGCGTTGTCGTACGGTTGTGTAGCACACCGGTCATGAAGGAGGCGGCGAGTATTGTGTACCTGTACTACTTGCTCCCACGTGGATCGTCCCAATCCGCAGCCAGGTCTTTGACAAGCTATTTTCATCGGGGCGAGGTGGGGCGAGGTGAGGTGTGTATGACCCACTGCCACTCGCACATCAACGGCCCGTTTTGGCAGTGCTAACGAAGATACGCTTGGCAGTTACCTGGTCTATGAGTTACCCCGGGCTCTGGGGGGGCGGGCGGGAGAGCGGGGGTGGAGGACAGGATGCGGCACCCGGCTCTGGTGGAGGGCCTGGTCCTTAGCCTTTCTTGAGGCGTCAGGTAGTTTTCAGTTGACAGATTTGGTCGCGTGTATTGTCAGATTAATGCACATGCTGACGTGCATGAATGGCGTCTATACTGACATGTGCCGTGTAGAACTACATATTATAACAATAGTATTATTATGGTCTTTATATCGTCTTTATATATGTTTTTATAGACCAGAAGGCGCCATGCTGGGGCGTGTCGGGGCTAATACACACACATACACACACATGCAGACACACATTCGTACGTAGCCCCGTAGCAATAATCCTGCTGCTGCTGCCTTTCCGGAGGGGGGGAGGGACACGGCGGCGGTGACGTTAGTTGGTGGTGATGTCGGCTCGCGGTTGCCAGCCTCCCCGCAACGAGGCAAATCGAGTACCCTAAGGGCAGCATTAGACTGGTTCGTTTGTTGTGTGTGTGTGTGTGTGTGTGCGGGGGAGGAGAGGTTTGCGCCAGTCGGCACACAGAGACGGGAGCTGCTCTCAGCGCGGGTCCGGCGGCCTTTCCTCCCCACCCGGAACATGATGATGATGATGCCGAACATGACCTGTTCACGCACGGCCATACACGTCGTGTCTCACATATGTGGGGGTGTTGTTTACATCCGTTCATTACATTTTCAGGTGACATCTTTCAATGTAATGGAGACGCATCAGCGCCCTGCTGGCCAAAGGCAACTGCAGGAGGCCGGGAAGGGCTTTTTCTCGCGGAGGTACACGGTACACGGACAGCCATACATAGCAAACACAGTACACTATCATACGTACATGCGCCGCGCCAGGTCACTAACCAATTCTTAATACATCTCGCCCTCTCCCCCCCCACACACATAAACACACGCACACACGCACCTGGGACACAAGTCACAAGTTTTACAATGTCGCCCTCCGAAACCGCCAAACCCACCGGGGACCCCTGGGACCCCATCAGCCCCCTCGCCGCCACACCTCCCCTCCGGCCGCCCATACGCCACAACGAAAAGAGCTCGCACATACATACATACATACATATACACACACAAACGGACAGACGCGCACCCTCTTATCAAAAGGCCATCAGGTCCTCCCTCAGCCCCTCAGCCATCCTCCCCCTCGGCCTCCCGCCGCCGCCGCTTCTGCTTCTTGTTGTTCTCCCTGTCGCCCTCCCTTGCCGGGGCCTTGTCCTTCCTCTGCTTCTGCTTGGGGGCCCCCCCCTCCCGACCCGACCTGCCCTTCTGCCGCCCCTGACCACCACCACCACCAACACAAGGACCTGCGGTGTGACATCCACCCATCCAAGATGGGAGGGGAGGGGAGGGGAGGGCGGGGGGTGGGGAGGGTTCGGGGATACATTTCTGCCATCTGGTGTATGACTGATAACTAAATATCATCATTCTTCTGGCGGCTTGCGAGGACACTGTCGCCGTGTGCTACGAGGCGCGAGGGCCCCAGGGGGCCGCGGCGACAATCGCCCTTCCCCACCCCACCCGGGGGAAAGCAACAAACAGGTCGTTGCGGTGGTCGGTTAGGAAAGAAGGAAACAACTACCGGAGGTTGGGACGAGCAAAAGAATGAAACCGCCAAACCACCCAACCCGACACGTTCCTTCTGGATGCGATCTGACCGCTTCCGTCCCCTCCTCGGCCCCTCCCTCCACCACCCCTTCGATCAGATTTCTGAGAGAGAGCTTCCCCCCCTCCCCCCCGGCCCCCCACCCCCAAACCCCACCCCACCCCACCCGGCTCTTCCCCTAAGAGGAACATCCGGACCGGAGACCTCACCTTTGTGTGACTGCACCTTCGCCGCCTCCTCGCCCTCCTCTTCGTACATGTCGTACCCCTCGTGCTCCTCCTCCTGGCCGTCATCGGCCCCCCGAGCTGAGGATGAGGGGGGCTTTGGGGCTGTAGGCAGCCAGGCCACACCCGTCAGTGCCTGTGGGTATATGTATGTATATACATATATATGTGGGTGGGTGGTGGTTGAGGAGTTGAAGAAATCATATGGAACAGGATGACACAAGTTAAAGCGTTCCACATCTTTCGGCTGTGCTTCCCCCCCCCACACTGCCCCCCACACACATACATGCACACACTTCCCCCTACCTCTCCTCCACAAGACAAGCCCCCAAACCAGCCGACCTGCTTCAAATAGACCTTGGTTAGCAGTTGGCGGTTGGTGGTTGAGTGCACTCGGAGGTGCCGGTCCAACGACACGGAAGCGATGAGCGGTTGGGTCGGGTGCAGGCTGAGCGACCGGATCTGCGTCATCCGGCGGGAGGGCGGGATGGGGGGGGAGGGGAGGGGGTTAACGCGATCCACTGGCGAATGAAGCAGATACCAAAGAGATAGACGGATAGTCCGGGACCCAAAAGGGGGGGGGAAGACGAACCACGAACGAGTGAAGCTGCTGCCACCAAGGAAAGAATGTACCAGACGTAGTAGGGAAGGGGGGGGGAAAGAAGGTAGGAGAATACACAACCCCGCGGGGGCAGCTGAGGCCTCGTAAAACGGATCAGGAAAACCCGACCGGAGTACGTCAGGGGTGTCATGGGGGGGACGTGTGCGCGCGCGCGCGTGTGTGTGTGTGTGTGTGTGTGATGGGGCGGAGCGCCACCAGATGACGTCATCATGCCGTATCATCATGCCATGCCATGTCGTACGCGGACGAGGGCGAGGAGGAGGAGAGGTGGAGCGGCCAGCCCAGTGCACACTGACGCCCGTAATAACCACCCTGGGCATGGGCCCCCTCAAGCGACATCCCACCCCACCCCATCCCTCCACACCGCAGCTCTGAGCTCTGATCGCACAGCCGGGCCATCCAGCAGCTCCGAGTCACACCTTAGCACAGAGCCCGCCCACCCCTAGCTCACCCCCCCAGTCACTCACCGCCCCAGCAGAGCCCTTCAGCGCGTGCCCCATGGACACGTTGCCCGGGGCCTGTCGCAGATCCAGTGCCTCCACCTGACCGCGACCATTACCCACCCACACGCGGGTGCCTGAAGGGAGGGGGAGAGGGGGGGGGGAAGGTCATCTGGGCTTGTCGTGTAGAGAGGTGCATGTGCTACTGCTACAGCTGTGCTGAGCTCTGTGGTGGTGGGACTGGAGGGATTAGGGACCTGGACGGAACATTGGCGGCGAGGGGGGCAGAGAGGGAGGGGAGACGGAGACGCGGGAAGTGGAGGGAGAGCTCTTCAGGCTGGGAGACAGCCGGGTCGGTGGACAGTTGTCTCTGTCTGTCTGTCTGTCTCTCTTTTTCTCTTTTTTTAACATACACACACACACTCTCTCTTTCTTTCTTTTTCTTCACACACACACATATAAATATATATGCAGATATGTACATATACATGTGCGTGTTTGTGTTTGTGTGTGTAGAGAGAGGGGTTATGCGGCCAGCGGGTCGAATCGGGTTGGACGCTCCGGGGCCTCAAAAACAACGATACCGTACCGTACGGACGCCGTACTTATCTGAAATCGCAGACTGCCGTCCCCCCTGTTCCTCCCGTGTCAACCCTGTGTGTTTTACCCCTCTCCACTTCCCCCGGCCCCCTGCTCCTTATCCTTAGCGGTACGCTCCCCCCACCCCCCACGTACCATCCTGCTGGGGCAGCAACGCGGTAATGCGCCCCTCGCCCCAAACCGCCTCAGACTGCGGCTTGCGGCCCGCCCGCATGTCGTACAGCCACAACTTGTGTTTTGCCGTACCCACAAGCACCTGCAGTACCACACGGCGTGGCGGCACACACGCACATCACATAAATCCCACGCATGGCCTGGAGATGGTGGTGGTGGTGGTGGCAGTGGTGGTGGTGGGCCCCGACCGAACAATTATATTTCTTACCTACCTACCCCCCAAGCACCCCAACCTTCAACTGCCAACCACCAACCGGCCCCTCGGCCATGGTAAACACACAGTCTCCCCCGTCCCTCTCCCGCCCCCCGCCCTCACCAGCTGGTCATCGCGACCCGGCACGTACGACACCGCCGTCACGTGCGCCAGATCTTGTAGCCCGGATCGCGACGGCTTGCCGGCCTTGCCCGCGAAGAGCGGCTCTGTGTGGGCCGCGGTGGCCGCGGTGGCCGCTGCCGCCTTGTTGGCCGCCCCCAGGTCCCAGACCCGCAGCTGGTGCCCCTCACCGCCCACCGCCACGTGGCGCCCCGAAGAGCTCACGTCCTGAAACACACCACATACATACATACATACATCATACATACTTACATACATACGCGAGGGGTTGCACTACAACACGGATATACTTATGCACGTCTGGGGAGCGGGAGGTGAGGTGAGGTGGGAGGAAGGCGAGTTGGGGAAGGTGAGGGTTCCCAAACACACCGCCGATTCTCATTACCCGGGGGAAGAGTTGGCGGCCGTACACACGACTTTACACACACACAGGAGCATTCCCCTACTCGCCCCACCTCGCCCCTCCCAACCCCCCATCATATCGCTCGTGTGTGAAGTTGTGCACCGCATCCCTCCTCCTTCCCATGACCTCCCCCTTCCCCCTTTCCCCCCTACCTACCTACCTACCTACCTACCTACCTACCTAGCTACCTACCTACCTACGTACCTCCTCAGCACCGCCAGCACCACCACCACCATGATATGATTT